CGCCGACCTCTATTGGACGAGTTCCACTACAATTTTCTTCTATTCCATTTCTCATCTAGACAGCCTATCAACTTTCTCCCCACCGAACCTGCACCATGAGGATGACAACGATATTATGAAAAACTACCATTTGATCTATGAGCAGGGTATTCCGACCTGGGTTTTAATGGGTTGGGTTTTATTGGGTTTTAATGGGTTTTAATGGGTTGTAAATGAGTAAAACCCACTGGGTTTTACCATGTTAAGTGGGTTTTATTTGGGTTTTAATGGGTTTTATTGGGTTTTAATCGAGTTTTACCTTAAAACAATATTCTAAAAGTTAAATACATCTCCTATACGTTAGAAGACGTTATCTCAATTCATTCTAAAGCAGTTTATTTCATTACAATCATAATATATGAAAATTCGAAACAAAGCAACAATTGACTCAAGATTTCAAGTGTTGTAAAACAAAAATAATTTCCGAATAGATACAAACTACGAATAATTTTTGTTAAATTATTACTTAAAACTATTAAAACCCAATAAAACCCATTTAAACCCAATAAAACCCAATAAAACCCATTGAAACCCAAATAAAACCCAATTAACATGGTAAAACCCATTAAAACCCATGGGTTTTATAATTTTTGATTAAAACCCTGGGTTTTTCCGAACCCTGTCTATGAGTGTAACTTGAATTCATAACTTCACCCAAGAAAATTAAAACAAAAAAATTATTGCGTTTTGGTATGAAAAATAATAGTTCAAATATGTAATTTACACATGCATGGATTGTTAATAGTATTTGAGATAATGATATTTTGTGATGAAATGATTCGTAACACTTCTTGCATTTAAATTTCATTAAATGGGTCACTTATTCATCAAAATATCACGATTTATAAATTAGAACTTGAATTTATAGCAGAATATTCCTGCTACGCTAGTGAAGAGGAGGACAACCCAGAACGGTTTGAAGAATCCGAGGACAACGATTTGTTTCTGCAATTTCATAGAAGTCAAAATATCAAGGGTAACGAGATTGCTCGATACCTGTCGCAACCAGTGATAAGCCCGAACGCACTAAACAATGGTGCATTAGGGTGGTGGAAGGTAACAATTAACCTTTTGAAAACATGTCCCCAAAGTGTCACGTTTTTGTACTTTTAGAACCACGAATCCGACTACCCAACACTCTCAAAAATGGCCAGGGACTTCCTGACGGCGGCAGGTGCAGGAGTTCCTGTGGAGCGTTTATTTTCCTCAGGATCAACGCTATTAACTCCAAAAAGGCAAAAAATGTCGCCATCAACAATCCAAGAGTGTATTTGTACGAAGGGTTGGATAAAGGCAAATTATCAGGAAATTTTTAAAAAGGATCTTTGTGTCGCGGTGGCTGATAAAATGAGAGGAGAATAATATTTAAAATTTGTTAAAACATCCTTTTTACATAAATATGTATGCTGGTTGTACAGTTAAGCAATTAGTCATGGGTTTGAGTTACACTTATTTCTAATTTTATTAAAAGTCGAGAAGGGTGATTGATTTTTGTCAAAAAATTCTAGTTAAGACCAATTTTAAATTTAAATGTTTTATATACATTAATTGCAATAAAAAATTTGACGTAATTAGTCGATTAAACTAAATTAATATATTAAAGGTCCAATGCCTTAATTAGCCATGTTAATTTACAAATTAAATCAATAAAATATGATTGAAGTTTAACCTAAACCAACTCGATTGTAATAATTAATTAAGGATTTTAGTTGAAGATAAGTGACTATAAACATTAAATGCACGCTGCAGTAACACACTGACTCGACTCAATTGACTCAACTTGACTTACTTCTTAATGAGTCGAGTCGAGCCAAGCCGGCTTACTTCTGACTCGGCTTGGTTCGACTCACAACTCAATAAGCCGACTTACTGGCATCTCTAGGTGCTAGGATTTATCTGTCCGTTAGTGTCTGCTACGTTATCTTTCAAATCGTCCTGCTTCGATCGTCACCTGCACACTTATCGGAAAAAGTGTTCCCTGCCACGCTGACTTGTATGTATGCCATCTGCACGGTGACAGGTGCGGAGTGGGGTGCAGATATGGCGAGCATACAATTGATGAATTTGATCTATAAGACGGGAGGAACTGAGGAGTTAGGTGAGTTGCAATTTAACTAAATATATACTGATTAACGCATGTATTTGCACATCAAAAATATATCGGCAAATTCTGCACATTTTAAATTATTCTGGGTACTGGGATTTTATTGTAAAATTATGAACGACAAATTTAAATAGCAGGATGCCAATTTAGAAAAATACGCTACGGATTTTGACAGTTTTTAAAGCGATCTCAAATTTATTAATCAAACAGAAAAATTTGAACTCGTCGAACCTTTATTTTAAAAAACTGGCCTTTATTTATTAATCATTAAAAAGCAAGACGCCAATTTAAAAAAATGCGCTACAGATTTTGACAGTTTTTAAAAAGATCTCAAATTTATTAATCCCTCAAAAAAATTTGAACTCGTCAAACCTTAATTTTAAAAAAAACTCACCTTTAGTTATTAATCAACTTTCCTACTACAAATTGTCTCAAGATTTTAAAATAATTACTTGAGAAATAAATGAAAAACGTGTTTCTTTTTACGATTTTGTTGATGAGTCATCGAGTCCTGTGTTAAATTTCTACAATCCCAGCCCAAATTTTGGCTTCAAACCCTGATGCAAAATAGGGAATATTTAACGACAGGATTAGTCAATTTCTCAGTTTTGCTAATTAGGGTACTCGCCTATTTTGGTAGGTGGTAAAAAGCCCTTTATGGAAGGGGTCATATTCAGGGTAGTTTTAATCTCTATGGAAATCTTAATCGCTTTGTATGCATTTGCTAAAATATTGCTTATACTTAATGAAATTTCATTTCAGTCTCTGGACCGTGCGGAGCAGAATATTCTTACAAACAATAAAATTGATTTATACCCTCTTGGACATCACGTGCCATTTCATCTTCCCTCCAGCAATGATTTTCCTTTTGATCTTGTTCCCTTGCCAACCACCCTTTCTCGGATGGGTCATCCTGCCCGAATGCGACTGCACAAGGTCATCCTGCTCACCAAACCCCTTCTTCTTTCTAATCGTCAAAGCAGCCCTAATTTTAGCGGAATTTGCCCAAATATTCCGCCATCTCGTGAATGGATCGCACTACGCGATGTACGTCGTCATCGCGGGAATTCTCCATCTGTGGGAAGAATCTGCCAAGATCGTGGGCTCCCCCAGGTTTACGAGAAGATACCGAAAACTGCAAATTTTAGAGGTTGTACTCAATTTCGCAATTCGGGACAAGGTGTTCCCCACTTTCTTAGTGTCGTGTCCGTCCATGCAAATTTTGGCGACCTTTGTGTGCATCAAGTATCACGACGGGATGGCGGGAACGCATCTCATTTTTCTAGCGTTGCTCTCACTAGACACGGAAGTCCTGAACGTGATCTATTGCACGGCAGCGGGTGTGGTTTATGAGAAAAGTGAGACTTATTTGAAAGGTTTGAAGGGCCTGGTTCGTGGGAAAGAGGAGAGGAAAATGCTAAAATCCTATACCCCGTTACGGGTGAGATTTGGGAGTAATTTCATGGATAGACTGACACCTTTGGTAATACAGCAATTTTGCGCGATCCAGACGATGAATTTACTTCTTCTTAGGTAAAAAAGTGGACACGTTTACCTAATTTTTAATTTGCATGATAATTTTCTACATGGTTTAATTACGAATTTTGTGAGCCTGTACATCAACATGTACCTCGATTTTTATATATAATGATTTATGTATGTGCATAACATCCAGGTAAATCTATTTTACATCTTTATCCTGGCGTCTTATGTTAAAAAATGTTTTAACATGTAGGATTTATGCTTCTTAAAATTTCTTATAGAAAAATTGTATGTATATTCCGGTTTATAAATATTTAAATAAATATGTCCCCAAATTATCTTCCGCAGCAATAGGTACGTCTCATAATAACTCGAGTAAAAATAGGCACAATTTTTTACACGACTCTTGATACATACATACAAACAAACATACTTCTTTAAAGTTCACGTCATCTCCTACGTACATAAATCCAGTCAAAATAGATGATGACGATAACGGATGGCATCAATTGCCGTGGGACAGAGGAACAATGTCCCTACGGTTATTCGATGTTCCTCACATGTTATACAAACCCCCCCCCCCCCCCATCTTATCAATGTTAGTGTCCCCACAGCTTACGCGGCCACAGGATGACACGCTTACAAATTTTGTTTTACACGGTCTACGTAAGGATTGGAAAAGTACAACTTATTTATTTTCCACAATTGGAATAAAGACACGTGCCTTTCCACTTAACAAAGACGGCCGACCTACACATACGTCATTTTTACATATTTCCTTGCCTCAACGTATGTAAATTGGGGTCGTAAAAGACGAGAACATTAAGCCAATTCCGGCAGGAATTTGTGTGGACTCTTCTTGTGTAAAATTTGCACTGCTTTTGACGCATCAGTTCCTTTTTAATTGCCTACGTAAATAATTTATTGTATTAAGCATTGTTTTCCGATCGGGCCATCCTTGCTCACGTAGATATGAATACACTCTTAGAAATCTGGTGGGTATTGATTTCTCGGTAATAAACTTGCTGCCGCTTGGTATTAGAATTATCATAGAAATTTCCACCGAATATGGTAAAACTTTTATGCCGAGTTACTTATCATTTTGATAAAGTCAATGTATGTATATTAATAACGCTCGGCATTACTTATTTTAATACTGGATTTATAAGAGTGTCATCGTCACCCGCACGATACTAAAATATCCTCCGTTCTTACGAGTTTGGTAAGGTAACGGTTATGCAATACATTCCACGATCAAGGTTGACCTCCCTATGAAATTATGAACAATGGGGCAATTGTGGTTGCCATTCTGAATTTCCTCACGAATTATATAGGCAGCGAGGCTATAAAACTTGGCTGGCCTGGCAGATTCCCCGTCACATTTACCTCCTCAATCCTCCAGTCGTCCACGTATCTCAAAAAATTAGGAAAAAATGGCCTTCCTCCGAATCTCGTCCCTTCTCTTCATCGCCCTTTTGGTAAGCGCAGCTTCCCTAATTATAATTTGAGCAGGGGCCGCGGAAACGTAGGGATAGAGGGACAAGGAACGTTTATAAATTATGTCACAGATTCTTCAGACCCCCTTTCCTACTTCTTACGGGTTACACCCTTTTTAACATTTGGCGCAAATAGGACTGACGCATTAGTTTTACCCTCTCCGCAGTGACATAATTTCTGGACATCCCCTCATCCATAAAATAAATCCTTCAAAATTTCCTGCAAAATAAATTTCTGTGAAATTTTGTATTAATTATTTTTTTGCACATAAGGCCCAATATATCGCCACGATTGCTCGATGTCCACATTATGTTATGTAAAATTTTCCGATTTTTTTTTGCACAGGTGTGTCACGTAGCGGCCGAGTTTAACTTTGGAATTGCGGATTTGCAAAAGGAGATGGGTTACTATGGGGAGTGCGAGGGCCATAAGATTAATCTTCCCATGGAAACTATCAACAAAGGCTTCGGTACCGTCCCAATCTGCACCCTGACCGTCCCCGGAAAGGCGCAGCTTTCTAAAGAGGTCAGTTTTTGAGTTACACGGCTCAAAACGTACATAAAAATAGTGGCGTCATACTTTCAAATGACACGACATTTCTAAAATTATATGATGTATGACCTTTGACCTTCGTCCTCTCGGTCATGAGGTCGAAAATATTGACGTCGTTGATTTCGTGGTGCAATTTCCTTTAAAATGACAAACATCATAGATATGAAGCAATCTGGAGATAGCCTGCTTAGGGACAGACATACATATGGACGGACAGACGGCAACATAAAGCGGCTCACCCCACTTAACATCTTATTCTTTGTATTCAGTGTGTCGCCGTTTGTGTCGCGGAGCAGATGGGGTTCGTTGACCCGAATACTCGCCTCTACCAGTTGGACAAGGCGACCAAGGAGCTCTGGGAAAGTGTCAACAGCACCGACCCCAACGTCCACAATGAGAAGTGGATCGTCGAAATTCAGGTCGCAGCCATTAAAAAGTGTGGAGTTGATCCGGGACGTAAGTTGCATAAATGAAGAAATTTGCATAAGTTTTCATGGGGAGAGGTTCGTAAATTTGGGAACATAAATTTGTATTTTTATTTTTGGAGACCCCCTTTTGAACATGTGTCAAGACATTTTTGGGCCTTGATCCCACCCCTCTTTGCGTTACGAAGTTTACGAACGTCCCCGAAAGGGATGAATTAGATATCTAATTGTGGAAACATTTATAAAACTTTAGAACGTTTCGTGCTGGAAAATGATTGCGAAGAAGCGCACAAATTTGATAAGTGCATTAAGGATGCGGCGTCTAAGGTATGTAAATTTATGGGGCTGCCTACGCCCCCCGCCCCTCACTCGTATTAAAATGTGTAAATGACTTAAACATATTTTTTTATAATGCAGGAGTGCGGAGCAAAGGCGGAATAAAATAAGTAATAAAATTGGTCCAGCAAAGTTTTAATAATCTTAATTATTTTCAAAATTCATGACTTTGTTGAAAAATAAATTGTTTCAAAATTATCTATAATGCTCATCTGGGTTAATTATTGCGTATTTATTGGCATATGCATATATATATTTATGGAGAATATGTACGTTTGGGAAATTTTGAGCCTTGAATAAAAAATTAATTTCGACAGAATTTCGGCGTTATCCGGTTATAAAAATCCTTTCAAAATTGTAAAATTATATTATTTTGTACCATTTTGTGGAAAACTGAATGTTGCAAAGTTGATTTTTTAAAATATTATTCTCCTCAAATTTTGCAATTTCGACTAATATTAAAAAAAACGGATTTTTCGTTTCTCCTCAAGAAACTAAAAACTGGAAACTGGTTGACATAAAATGAACGATAAAAAGTTGACTTTAAAATTTGTATTCTCAAATTTTTCAATTTCGACTAATATTAGAAAAGCAGATTCTTCGTGTTTCTCGTCAAAAAGTTAAAAAAAATGAAATCAATATTCCTCCCTTATATAAAATTATGAATATTTTACGTGGATTTTATCATGTGAAATTACATATTAGATCAATATCGTACCCAAGGAAAATTTTATTTAAAAAATCAGTAGTACGGTATGCAAAAATTTGTGTATCAATTTATATACATTGTTTTAAAAAAACAAAAAACTTTTCATAAAAATTTTCATTAATAAAATTTCATTCATACTTCCAAAAAGCATTATTTTACAGAAATTAGACTAAAAACGTCCCTTTTCTTCAGTCATGTGACGTGACTCACGTCGCATAATACTTAACGTAGCACGTACCATTCCAAGGTTTTTTTGTGACGCGTGCCTTCTTATTATATTACACCTCAAATTCCTAATTTAATCGTTTCACTTACACAACTTCTTGTGAAATCGCCAGCCCATTAAAAAAATTTCCAGACCCACACAATGGCATCAGATAATTTAACGTTCATATATCAGACAAGGAACGTTCATATATCATGTCAGCAAAAATGTGGGTGCGTAATTGCATATCTTAAATATATTGGTAGGGCAATTACATATCTTACTTGTATTTAGCCAAATATACTTATCATATTTAAGGGGTTGGTGGACCGTGTAAAAATTTCCGTTTTTTTGCCCCCATAATACATGAACGTTCCAAATCCTCCCCAATAAAATCATTTTTATCTCCCATTTTGGCACCAGTCTTACTTCAAACCTTGTTCAATTAAAACTTAAAAAAATCTGAAATTTTATTCCTTCAAATATAAAATGAATCTTTTCCTAGTCTCCTTCATCATCGCGGTAACTATTTCGGGAACGGTAAATTACGCTCAAATTTAAAATTTCATCCCAAAAATAAAATTCAAATTTCACAAAAAAATGTCCATAAAATTCCAGGTCGGGAAAATCGACGTGAACAAAGAGCTCGCCACATATTCCTCCTGCAACGGTAAACCCGTCGTTTTCTCGGCGGACACGGTCACACAAGGACTCTTTGTCGCCCCCCAGTGCTGGGCGATTGAAGATGAATTTGTAAGTTTTAAAAAAAATATATTTTATAAAATAGCGACGCGAACCACGTTCAACCCAGATTATTCATCATTTTAACCTTTGAAATCTCAGTGCGCCCAACTCTGCGTGTTTAAACTGCTTGACGGTGCCGTCAAGGGGGGCAAGCTAAGCAAGGCGTGGTTCAAGACGGAGGGCAAGAAAACCACCATGGGAGATGGGGACGCCAAGGAGAAAATACTTAAAGGATTGGATAAGTGTATGCCCGAGGGTAAATGGATCACATGATCAAAATCTGGCCCCATTTTCGAAAACTTATTTACTATCCTCGCATTTAGGCGTGTCACCTCATTTGCATAAATCTCAATAGCCCGTTTCCGGCGATACGGGCTTTCCATGTTTAGTAAACTTGATGACTCTCACGAATGCGTTAAAATATGCAAATGAGGTGACAGAGCAGAGTACGAGGACTGTAGTTAAAATGTGCTTTATTTATTAATGATTGAATTTCGCAGATTTGGACGTGACCGAGAAGGACGGCAAGTGTGGATTATACCAAGCTTTTAATGAGTGCATGCAGAAAAATTACAAAGAAGTTTGTAAGTAAAAGAAGGAATAATGTGGGTGAATAAAGAAATATGAACATTTCTGGAAGTGGGGGTTATGTAAATTGTGTAAAGTGTTTGGAGTGTGTCTATTTATCGATTTTCGCATGCTTAACCTCATTTTCACCAAATTGGTGATGGGATGTACAGTGCACTTATTTATGCATGTCACGTCATTTGCATATGATCATAAAATGCATTGTACAGATTATTTCAAATGGTCATTGAACTTCATTTTCACCAAGTTCGTGATATGATGCACACTGCAGTTTTTTGTGCTAGTCACCTCATTTGCATATGTTGACGCGTTAGCAAGAGACGTCGAGTTTATTCAACATGGAAAGCCTGTATCGCTTAAAATGGGCATACTGAGATTTATTCGAATGAGCAGGTGACACGCACAAATAATTCAACTGGACGATGACGACTGTTCCATGAGGACTAAATGCGTCATGTCATGTACTTATCAAAAAAGGCCAGATTTTTCAAACTTAGAAATATTTCTTTCATACTTACATATTTTGTGGGAAACTTTACAGCAAAAAGACGATTCTTCTGATATTTTCGTTCCCGAATTTTGATATCTTCCCTGCATACATACATATGTACATATATGTATACCAACAAATGCTAAAGAGCAGATTTTTATGTATTTCATCAAAAAACAGAAAAATAGGAAAATGGTTGAAAAATATTTCGTTATGCAATTTTTAAAAAATTCAAAATTTTGTATTTCTATAAACACTCGATTCGGTTTATGCATGGACGAATCTTTAAATACTTGTAAAATCTCGATATATTTTTACCTAATCGTGAAATCCGCAGTTTTTCCGTCTTCCGGACCCTTCCCCTCGGGCGAGGGGCGGAGTAGAACCCAATTATTGGCAGCGTTGCACTAACAAAAATCGGCTCTACAAATAGTGCAAATTTTGAAAAAATCAGAATTTTTTGTGTCCCTTAAAATTTTGGTTTGATTATGATTACTCTACCTACAACATTCTTAGGCAACTGGTATTGAATCATTACTGGCCGGAGTACATATTTACATATGACTCTACCGGCATCGACAATATCTATCATGACGGCGTACATATATTTGTATTGTAATGCGGTGGTAATGAAGTCTTTACAACTCAGAATCAAACCATAACCAATCCGGTAGGGAATTATTACCAAATCCATACCAGTACGGAGTACACATATATGTGACTCTACCGGATGCTTTGCAGTTTGCAGTGAAGGTAAAATGAAATCAGTACAAAATGAAATGAACGAATGAAATCATTGCATTTCTCATTCATGAATTTAAATGAAATATTGTACTCAAGCGAGATTTTTTGTTATGTAGATACATACATATGTACACCCCCCTCTGATTATTATGCACACACTGGCTCAAGTGGACTGGTCAGAAGGTTAAGGTGTTTTTTTGTCCTGAAACCTGTTTAAATACGGGTCCAGCAATGCCTATGTAAATGTATGTAACAAGGTATGTACATATGTGTGGGTCCAGCTGGTATGTATTCAAATCATCCCAGTAACCATTATGTACATAAACCTGAAGCGTACAGAAATTTTACAATCTCTTTAATTCATCTTGAGTAAATAGTTCATAAAAATATGAAAAGTTTTAACTTTATTTTAATTGGTCATTATTGAGCGACAATCTGGATATATAATTCGAGGCAGTGATAAAGATGCAGACGAGTCATAATAATAGCGAGGGCATCAGCGTCGTGGGGAAATCCAGCCTTAGAACTTGTCTCATGATTGTGAGTTGTATGATATTTTTAAATTTGCTAAAAAATAATTTTGGTTATGATTATTCAGTAAATATTACGTAAGATAATACGTAAATAAGTATGTATGTACGGAAGCAAAATTGTTGAAAATTTCTACGTAAGGATGGCTCATGCTCTGTATGTATTCCGTCTTTTGTAGTAAATCATGAACATTTTAATTGGTACCGTACCAAAGAGAAGTTTGGTTAAAAAATCAGTAGTATAGAAGAGGTTAACAACAATCATAGCGAGCAAATTCTCCACACTTTATTACATATGAATTAATTATGGTTATTTAATTTTCCAGCTAATTCTATTAAATGCCAGCTCAATCCTGTTGACCACGGTTACTGTGAATTGGTGGATGTACACGATATTAAAGGAACAGCTCCCTACAGATCTTAATCTCGGGAGCAGGACGACTATCTCGTTATTTGGTGGGTTAATTTCTTTAAGACAAAATATGTAAATATGCATAAGTATGAGCTGCATATACAATCTTAGAAATCCAGTATTAAAATAATACCAAACGGTATTCATACACGACTCTATGTACCAAAGTGGTATTAATAAATATTACCGGGTAGTAATAAATAGCTGCGTTTTAAAGTTTTTGCGTATCAGTAGCAAATTTTTACGGACCGGTATAATTTTAATACCAAGCGGTAGCAAGTTTAATACAGAAAATTCAATGCTACCGGATTTCTAACATTGGCGACGTCGGGAATTTTTAATAAACATAAATTTCCCAACATTTTCCATTTTGCTGTGCAATTTAACACGAAGACTTCCTGAATTTCAGTCGTATTCACCTGCGTGTTACTCATGGTTGCAAGTATGGCAGAAATTCTTCTGGTATATTCGTTCTGGACGAGTACATTATTCGTAATGAACAATAAATAAATTGGTAATAATTTTTTTGTCAGTACATATTTAATCTGACTTTTCTCTTTGAAAGGGAACCGATGCCCAGGAAACGATTCGGAAGGCAAAAAAATGGATAGTAATACTTCTCCTGAACAGTATTGTTATTCTTCTACCACCCATCATTTATTGGACGAAATTCCTGGGAACCGTACTGATTGGGAGTTTTGTCTTGAAAGTGGTATCGGTGTTAGGGACTTGGTTATTTATTGGGAAATTGGGCCTGGATAGGGTGGTGAATATGCAAAATACTCAAATTGGGATATGCAGTGAGGCTACTTTAGTATGATGAAAACAGTGGCAGAGGAAGCTGGGGGACATTGTGCACCAAGACATTCATAAAAATGTTATCTTAAGAAGACTCTCGTATTAAATTTCCGAATGGAGTATGTACATACAACTTAAGGTTTTCGTTTTTGTGGAGAGTATCTAATAAGTTTGTACCTGTTAAATTATGTCCAGTTACGGCCATAACGTGTGAATAAACTGAGGAATGATTTATCTATGTATTTATGTACGTATGTAAATAGTTTATGGGTTGTTTTATGCACTTGATAATGCTCAGCAAATATTATCTGTTATGAAATAAATATTTATATAATAACTACAGTTCGATTTGCTATAGATTAAAATAATTTTTTGTTATATAATGTGCATGAAACATTAGCTAACAAAATTTTATAGTATGTATGTTATGTATTCGTGATTTACGATGGAGATCTCTCAACGAATGCTCACAGATTTTGACACAAAGTAGCGTCAATTTAAGTAATATGAAGCTTGCAGAACACACGAGCCATCAATGGTCACGTTTGGCAGAGATCGTTGCATCCGAAGAGGAGAAAATTCCCCCAAAAGTTAATAAATTTTACACTTTCCAAATTTACAGCACATTTTCTCCTCTGCAGGTGCAAATATCTGCCAAATGTGACCGGGTCTTCTACAAATTTCATATTACTTAAATTGATGGCCGTTTAAAAAATCTGTGAGCATTCGTTGGGAGATCTCCATTGTTAGATTAGATTTTGTATATGACCATTTTGGCATTCCGATTCGTCCGTAGGTATTAAATTTGCATAAAACGCGGAACGCATAACCAAGGCATCAGAGCTGAGAAAATTATGGGGCATTAAAATGGCAAGATAGGGCGATAGTTCCTTGCTAACTTGAGGGTTACACTCTCTAAAATCTGGTATTAAATCAATACTGACTGGAGTATATTTACATACATACATACATATATGTATTACTCTACCGACATTGTAATAACGGGCATTACCGTTCAGCAATGTTCTGGAAATGAAAAATTTACCAATCAGATCACAAGTACTACCAGTCCGGTAGTAAGTTATTACCGAATCAATGCATACATATGTACACGTCCCTTTACCACTGCAAATCTCTATGAGAGTAACATACCCTAATGCCTAACCACGCTTCCGCGGCGCATGTGCACTGAATTGTATCTCCGAATTAATATTGGCAATACATCAAGATTATCCCGCATCCAGACTGACAAGGATAATTCGGCAGATTATCACACAAATTCTGTGAATCCGCATTTTCACTGAACTGAACATGTGAACCAAATCAATCACTTTTGTGTCGGGTCAATGGCAACTTTCTAATCCGAGGGGAATGTTATCGTGAATAAAAATCCCCATTTTTAAGCAATATGGGAATAAAAAGAGAGACAGGTGTGGCATTGTGGGGTCAGTCAAGGTGGTCGTGGTCATCCAGGAGGAAGCAAAAGCCCAGAATTTGGTTAACAGATAAATAATTAAACAATGGGGAAATTCCTTGCTGCGGTGGCCGTGATTTGCGGGATGGTCATGATGGGTGAGAATATTTAAAAATTTATCTTGCTCATTAAGTTTGGAAATTTTACAAAGGGTATGAAATTCGAACAGAGAAAATATTTTTCACAAAATTTAGAAATGAAAAAGAAAAAAAATCCCCTCATAAAACCCCCAGAAGTCTTCCAAAACTTATTGTAACTTGAAGTTACTAAATTCATAGTCAACAATAATTTTTGAAGGTGTGTTCAGGCGTGTTTCTTTCATATCTGTAATTACACCTAACCGCAACCCATTACAAGTTTCATGATTTCATAAAATGTGCTATTTGTTTAACCAGTTTCCAATTTTTTGAGTTTTTTTTACGAAAAACACGAAAAATAAACATTGGTCAGCATAGTGAAAATCCCAAAACTTTGGAAGAAAAATATCTTAAGAATCAATTTTATTTATTTATGTAGAATCGACTCGATTGAATCGAGTTGTCCACAAAAAGCTCTCCTTTTTTAGAAATTTGAGTGTCAGGGTAATTTATGTGGTACTCATATTTCCGTATTTTGACCTCTGTGAAAAATAAAAAGTATGGTTTTCATCTTCAAAGAGGTTTATAAGCAATAATGACTTATTTCTACATAGGTCAATCTCTCGTTGAACTTCCCTGCTCCGTGGAGAACTCGAAGGACGGAATTTATACCTTCACGGTCAATTCCACCTCCCGAATCGGGACGTTCAACATGTTTTTCGTCCAACACGAAATCACCCGCCTGATCCCGTGGGCAGTTACGGCGGTTTACAATTATCTCAACAATGAGCATGACGTTTCCCGCGTCGATAACTTCCGAGAGTACGACTGTCCCGGGCTGAATCAGACCTCCTGCTCGACCTCGTACCGAATGACGCCTGATCATCAGGTTGGTACCTTGCTTTATGACTTCGTGTAGCCCGTCAAATGTGATATTAATTGGTTTCCTTAATTAGTCCTACTCGGGGAAAACGTCCTTCGATCGGGGTCATCTGCATCCGTCTCATGCCTTTACCTATTCGCGAAATGCGAACGATAAGACATTCTACTGCTTCAATATTGCGCCACAGGATCCAAGCACGAATCAGGGACCTTGGAACGTTCTGGAGGGAAAGGTGCTGTCATATTTTAGTAAGTTTGAAATTAATGGGGCAACATGATACACATTCTATGGGAAGAACGGGGCAAAATGGTAGGCTTTTTTTTGAATGGGGATAAAGTGAGATGCTTTCTGACATTAAGGAGAAGCGAGATTTCTTCTGTTGACACAATTTTTTGGCGCTCCTTGAAAGAATTTATGAAAATTGTATCAACTCTTTGGGAAAATTATGTAGGTAGATTCACAGGTTTTTTAATTCTGTGCTGGGAATTATGAAAAATTTGGTAAAATCACATCACACTATGAAAATTAAATTTGCAGCCAACCGTGCCGGCTATGTGATAACGGGCGTCGGTGATCAGGAGGCCATCTTCTCACCCACGAATACCGGCTACACCGTGCCCAACCACTACTGGAAAATTGTCTGTTACAAAGACGCCCAAGGTGCGACGCAGGTCGTTGGATGGATCGGAAACAACACGCTCAGTCAGGCTAATAACCCGTCCGAAGCGGATGAGAGAAAACGGTCGACATATTTACCAAGGTAAATTTAGGTGTTTGAATGTATTTATACACTCAGAAATCCGGTATTAAATGGTTACCATTATGTATGTATATAACTTTACCGGCATGGTGATACGGTTCAGTAGTAAAAATTTACGACGCAGAAACAAACTATTACCAATTCGGTAGGAAGTATCGCTAAATTAGTACGAGAACGGAGTGACTCTGTTAAAAGGAGACGAAATTGATTTTGTGCTAAAAACAATTTTCATGATTTAGAGGGTTTTCCTTTCTTTTTTTAAATTGATAACGATTTTGAAGGTTAAGATGCCATGCTAAAATATTGCGAAAAATATCCAATATCAATGGGCACGTTAAATTTATTAATTTTATCGACTTAATTTCTCATAGGGAAACAAATTTGCCTAAAATTTCCACCTAAATATGTAAATATGTCTTACAGATCTCAGCAAGACATCATGAATACGATGAACATAAATAAAATTCACCTTTTCCAAGAAGCCTGGGTCGGTGGGGAGACGTACCTCTTGGAAGATCGACTAGAGGACAGATTACCCACCGCGGACGAGTGCTGGATGAAGAGAGACATGTCTGACGCCGTGAGACAAGAGTGGGCCAGCTATATTGGCTAGAGTTAGATATTTTGAACAATCCGAAATTTTAAATTGTGACCAAATTTTGAAATTTAACTATTAAAATTGTATTGCTCAATTCCCTCTCGTTTATTTATCTGTGCATATACACCTGTTCAAGAAATGTTTCTTCATTCAAAATGCATTCAATCTAAAAAATAAATAAAAAATATTCATTCATTATTAATTTTTTTATAAATATTTGAAAATAAATATTTATTCTTTATTCGTTTTTTATCAACTTTATCTTAAATTCGTTTAATTAAGTAGATGCATTTCTCAATATACCTCATGTATTAAGCATAGCAAGAAAATTAGTAAAAATGAATAAAATTATTCACTCGTTCTGCATGAATTTGAAATAAATAAATATGTATTAAATAATCAATCATTTAAAATATATAAAAAATTATTCATACACTCTTCATGTCCTTACTGAATAATGAATGAATAATTTATATACCTACGTATGTATTCGTTCTATATTGCCTAACTTAATACGTGCATGTGTTGCTGACGTGATAAGCAAAAGTTTAGAAAGGCATAACCTTAAGTAATACATGGGGATTTGAATGCATACATATATCATAAAAGGATTTTGAGCAGATGAGCCGAGTGATATTGAATTAAATTCCGGGGGATTAATTAGTTGGCAAATTGTTGGGTGGAATGTAAGGTAGGAGAATTAACCGATTTGATTAGACGGAATCCTCATGAAAATGGAGTTCGCGAATCTGCGTGGTTGCAATTATGCAGATTTTATTATTGCATAACCAACCACGATGGGATGAATTACTTCAAAATTTCACGTGCGTCAAAATATATGAGGAATGTTCTGTAACAAATAGGTATGTACTGGCGTCAGTCAAATCTGCATAATGCATTGCATTGCCCCCTGGACTCCATGACACCCACAGTATGGTTTTGAACGAATGCAAAGTTCAAAATTAAATTGTAGCGTAAAAATAGATTGGACAATTTTATCGTATTCAATTGAGAATTACTACCATCATTTAAACCACATTCCATGGGGACATACATCATTATTACATCTTGCATAAGTACAAACTTATGTAACTTTTAATTGAAAGTGAGTCAAACTATTGTGTCACCTATTTCCAATCAATTGTCCACTTATCTATCAAACATACACAAAACCTAAATTAGTCAAGCACGCTGGCGTAATGGAACTGTCCCTGATAAGATGATTAATTTAATACTTAAACAAATAAAATCTTCATATTCGGCCACTCTTCGCCAGAACGACAAGCTTAATAAACCCATTCCTTCCTCATTCTACAACAAAAAAATGTCCTTTAACCTCCTCCCTCTTTTCCTCTTTTTCCTCCTCCTCCCTTTCTCTTCCTCTCAACTCCTCACTACCGAATGTGGCGCCCGCTTTGCCTCCGGAAGATACGCCACCACCGCAATATATGACGGTGCCGACTCCATCTACATAATCGGCGGGATACCCTACGGTGAATACGAGATTTCAAAGTACTCCATCACCTCGGACGAAATCGCCGTCGTGGCACAGCTCCCCTCCAACCGGGCTTCCGGGACGATGTCGATTGACACCCAGGGAAGCATTTATTACCACGGGGGCGTCCAAAACGGTCAGTACGGAAGGGACAGCATTTTCAAATATATTCCTGGAAACATCAACCCTGTCAGAGCGATTGGCGTCATCCCTTGGAACAACTTCAACTCGATCGCCTTTCCCAGTTGGGAGAACCCCAATAATATTTTTATTCTGGGGGGAGCCCTCTATAAAGAAATTATTGTCCTCTTCAACCAGACGAGTTCGACCTCCGTATATGCAGGCGGCTTGCTACCCACGGAGTATAATTTGCAAGCCGGAGTGTCCGATGGGGCGGGAAGCGCGTATTTATTTGTAAATGTGGAGGGGGGCATTCCATCCGTAGTAAAGTTTAATATGACTTCATTCCAAGTTGAGGCAGAGGTTCCAATATTGGAAGGATTCTCTTTCACAGGTGGAAAGATTTTTAAATTTTATTAAAATGTAAATGTATAATAATAATAAGCATTTATTATCCTCATTTAGTAATACTAGTGGTTAAAAAATTCGGGGTTAATAGTAAAAAACGTATTATCCAATTGATTTATGCAAAACAAAGCAAAACTATTTTCATGAGCTTGCTAACAGTATCAAAATTAAGTAATTGATCTTATCCACAGTCAATATAGCCTAATTAATTACTCAACAAGTTTGGGATTTCTAAGGTTTACAATTGTTTCTAATTTATAGCCACAAATTATTTGAGATTTTTAGTACTCCTGATTAATTTTATTAATAATTGCATTAATGGTTGAGTTTTGGTACAACGAATTTTTAATATACGGTTGAACAATAATATCTTTTTGTGATCTCAATGACCTCAAATTTTGGGTGTCTAAAATTTATATTTCTTCACTTAAAAAAACTAACTAGGCACTCCTCACTCTGTTTGGGACGGAAGGAATGCATGGGTAGTTGGGGGCTATGGAAACTGGACGAACGGTCCACGGCCCGATTCGATCCTGAAATTCGATCCGGAATCAATGCAAAGTGAAATTGTTCTGGTTGAGAATTTTCCAGTAAGTGCAGAAAATGTGACGTATCTATCAAACACAAATCCTGTTTGGGTGGAGTCAAATAACAGGATCTACTTTTTTGGAGGATACACCCGTGATTCGCCGGGAAGTAATCAGATAATTCATGATAAAATTTGGTATATTCAATTACCTTGAATTCCTGATTTTAGATGGATATGAATTTATGATATAATTTCAATTTTCTGCATATCCAACGAATTAAATTGATTTAATTAAAATATTATACATATGCATGTACATATGTATTACATCCACTTATTTCCAATGAATAAACAAATATAATCACTAGATCCTTAATATCCGCAATGTTAATGCGTAATGATTGATCCTAAAATGTACACAGATGGGTGTAAATACTGGGATTAAATTTTTATGTTAATAATTAGTCATTTTACGAATTTTTAAAAGTACGACAGGTTATTAGTAATCCGACGATGTACATGTATGACCATGGAACAATTTATTTTAATTTATCATCGTAACTTTTTTGGACATTAACTACAAATTTAACTTGCGAATATTCCGAACATCTGTATCGGGTGACACAATTTTTGGCATGGTTCACAAACCACTATGAATATGCAGACATATCTATGTTTGTGCTAAATTTGTTTATAAGTCATAAAGGAGGATAATAATTTTGTATCAACGTAAATATGGAGGTAGAATGTCGTCGAATAAAATAAAAAGGATATGATGGACTGATTTATATCACCTAGATAATTCCAGTATTTGGTGTGCCAACTGGTGTATTTTAGATATTAAAATGCAATTAATAATTTTAGGAAAATGCGTGCAAGAAGATGGAATCACTTTATGTAAGACGGGGTCACAGCCCGTTACAAATGAATCCATGTCAACTTACATAAAAAGTTTTTAAGCCAAGGATATCCCATTAAGGTGATAAACGATTCTATAGAAAAGGCCAGAATAAAAGACAGGCTTGAGGTTTTATAACCTAAAACCAAACTTGTGTTACATTCCCTTACGAATAATTTCCGAGACGTAATATGTAAATATCAAAATTATAAACTCAGAGAAAATAGAGACATACAGAAAACTTTTATCATTATGCCATTTTACAGCAATATGTATCAGTTTAAACACACGATCATAAGGTTTATTAATACAGAGAAGGATATAAGTAAAAATAAACAGTACCGTGATATCATTAACAGCCTCAATTTTGTAATCTCTTTTAAGAAAATTAATTCCTTAACACACTATTGTATGAAGAAGTAAATTTCTTATCCAGTCTGGTACAAACCACGAACAAAATGCATTGAAAGTGTACACAAAAATCAAAGACTTGATTTCACCCTAGGTAGTATAAATTTGTGACTATTTCTATTCTTGATGGCTACATCTCGTTTTATCTCATTTTTAATTTTAATTTTAACAATTTTGTAATATTTTGTGATTGTAAAAAGGTCTGATGAAGGATTAAACAATTGCGAAAACGGTCACAACTGGTGATTAAATATATCCAAACATCGGTTGAAAGTCTTTTCATCAAAGTACTGGAATTGACTGTGGGTGATAAAAAATGTTTCGGCGGTCATATTTTCGTTTTATGCGTCTTAACGTTTCAAGATCTGAGCCATAGTAACGGTCCAAGTAATCCGGCAATGTTGCATCTACATAATTCTGGTAGGATTCTGTGTGGCGAAATATAACTTTGGTTAATTCATAAAATCTCGCGAGCCAGTCCAACGAGGGTAGATATGGGTTCAAAGTGGCCTGTCCATTGAAGAAAGCTTGGACCATGTAGCCGACCCCGCTCCTATGGTTGAAAGAAGTTTCCAGAGGGGTCTTGTCGTTGATTGCACCCCCAAAGGCATACATTTCTATGATGATGTCCGTGATCTCCCCTTGTGTCTCAACAAGTAGGTTATACAATGTCGAAGCGTCCTCAACCTCTATTAGGTTACTAAATTCTAAATTATCAAACGTAAATCGACCAGTACGATTTTTCATCTTGCAAATTTCTTACCGAACAAAGAAAGACTTTGCATGGAAATTACGCCTAGTAAACATCTCCCTTGTAACATTCGGGAGCTGGCTTGGATCCTCAATGCCAATATCGTTTGGATGTGATGTGCGGAACATAAAGTCCATATATCTGTCGGCAATAACTGATGTAGTGTTTAGTGACGTAACGGGGAATTTGTTAAGAATGTGCTGAACTCGTTGTATTGCTTCTTCTTCATTGTCATCTGACACCTGGATGTCAAACACTTCCACGATCACCGTACCGTTCTTTATGGTTAATTTGGTGTTACTGTCTCTTGAGGATAGATAATCCCTGACGAGATGTTGCCACGTTATAAACACTTGGGCGAACTGGCTTAATGGAAACGTTAGTTCGCCAGCAGTGACCAAGACTGGTGCCTGGTATGCCCTGAATTTAAGCTTCGTGATGATTCCATATGATCCCCAGCCTGCTCCACGGAGAGCCCAAAACAAGTCTGGATAGGTCTGTTCGTTGACAATTAGCAGGGATCCCTCAGCGTCCACCATTTCGACTTCGAGAATGTTATCAGTGGTAAGACCAAATAGTTTGGACATGTAACCGTAACCTCCTCCTGTTGCCAACCCAGTAATACCAACCGTAGGGCACGTTCCGTGGGGTGTTATTAGGTTGTACTGTTCGAGAAGTGGGTAAGCTAGTTGTCCAAGAAGGGCTCCTGCACCAATAGTGAACCATTGACGATCTGGACTGACATACATTTCAAACATGTGGCGTAGATCCACTATAAATGTTCGGTTGTCTCCAAATGAATATTCTTCATAAGAGTGGCCACCGCCTTTTGCAACAATCCTCACCCACTAAACATAATAATAAGTTAAGAATATATATAAGGCAGCAACAAATTTGGAATTATTACATAGTAGCGGCGCTCATATTTTAATCCGTACAATTTTTCTTTGTTTGAAGTTTTAGCCAGCTGTTGATTTTCGAAATATGGGAACTCCGTACAAAATTTTTATATTATAGGAGGACTAAAAATGCAAGTCTTTTACGTGCAAAACTCAGATCTCAATGGAACCAATTTTATTTTGTTCGCCACAAAAAATAAGCATACCCGTATTTTTGCAATTTTCCTAATGCGTTAATTTCAGCGAGATGTGCTAATTTCAAACTGTTTTCCAGCAAAAACCTCGGTTTTTAAAAATTCTGCAAATTTTCGAATTTTAGGGCGAATCCAAAAATTCGAATTCATATCTCTTCAGAATGACTTAATTGATTTATATAAAATCCACATGCAAAATTTTTTGACAATTTGAAAATTTGAAAGAGTTCGTATTATATTTTATATAAAAAAAACTGGCCAAAAATACGAAATTCAAATTTCAAGAGAATTTGAGTTTGAATAAGTCAGGTAAATCATTCTGAAGAGACATGTTCTCGAATTACAAAAAATGCAAAAAAAGTAATATGCTTGTTTTTGTGGTGAACAACATAAAATTGGACCCATTCAGATCTGAGTTTTGCTAGTAAAAGACTTGCTTTGTAAGTTTTATGTTTTTGGATTTTTAAATTCTCCCCAAAAGTTGAAGCAAATTGCAGATTTGTGGCTGGCAGAATGTATCAAAATCCCACATAGCACTGAAGTACAGTCATTGCGGAGAAAGCTAAAATACAGGACGCTTATTTTTGGTGGCGAACAATTGAGATTGGTCCGATTAAAGTATGATTGTAACCACCGCTGACACTTCCGCAATTTAACTGCTTTTAAATTTCACAAAATGATACAGCTTCCAAATATATTAATACTCACGTGTTCCGTGGCGCAACGAACGGCAGCTTGAACATCACCGGCATTCCTTACAGTAAAATATCCCAGAGGATACTTTCTCTCATGTATAAGATTCCACTGATAATTTAGCTTCGTATATTTCGCATACTCATCAGACAGGTACTCGACTATGTCTGAAGGATTGGATCCTTTGCTAACGATGCACACTTTAAAATCACTCCAAATTGGAGTGACTGGAGTGATGGATTGGTGGGCGTGGCAGTTATGCAAGGCAAAAAGTACAACACCCACAAAAAATATAGTACCCTCTGTAACCTTCATTTTTACAGACTGACTACGATTCGGTTGATTATCAAGTTGGCAAATAGTAGGCTTTTGCGCTCATACTTCTTTATAAATGCTCATTCGTTGGTATTTTAGCACCTTTATGTCACGTTATTCAAACAATAATTAATCCAATTGTGACAGACATCCGTATGGTACGAGGCTTATCAGTCAATCAATCAACCATCAATAATATAAATAAGCAATGGTGTTTGTATTCACAACAAGTCCCATTTTGGCATACCTACGCGTTTATTTTTGCGTATTGTGTCGATGTCAATTAAAAATTCCAAAACATCAGACACTACACAATCTCACTGCGTGATTCATATCAACCGATAAGACTTGTTTGAATACAAGGAATTAAGCACTCTAACATTCTTGACTTTGATTAATTCAAACGGGACTTGCCACACGTTTGGCAACGGATGGTGTGCACACCATCCGTTCATCATATGACTGGTTGTTGTATAATATCACGATACAACTGCGTGGTGAAACTTATGGGATGACAATACCATGCCAAGTAATCAAATACCTTTCAATGGGTTACTCTTTGTCATGTCTATGAATATGCACCCTGTTTTAGTTTTTATCATATTAAAAATTTATGACGTAATCGTTTATATAAAATGGGAGACGGAAAATTTCTGTTGACACTGTGAATAAAGTTAAGGGACGTTACCAAAGTGGACACACTGTAAAAAATGTGGTGAATTCAAAAATACACTCCGTCATGGTATTGATTTGGTGATAACTTCTCCCCGGGTTGGTAATAGTTTGATTCTAAGTGGTGTGCTTGCATCACCACAGCGGTGTATATTTTTCACTAAACGAACGGTAATGTACGATATCACCGCTCCAGTTACGTCATATATGCTATAAACGTCACCGTTTGGTGATGATTCAGTACCGCACCGGTTTGCTAAGATTGCAGTAAAAGTGCTAAAAAATTTCATTTTTACGTCGATTGTTTATCACCGAACTTGGGAATATCAGCAAGAGTCACTTAACCCAGACCGTGCTGAAGAAATTATCAAATAGATTCAGTAATGAATCCAATGTTCGAAATTCAGCTTTCTCTGGTTTTTCAAATTCCGTGCAGGATCACATTTTTGATCCCCATGATATCTGAATACCAAAAATATATAATGGAAACATTGTGAGCAGATTTGTACCTAAGGTGAATTAACACACTCTTAGAAATCCAGTATTAAAATAATACCAGGTGGTATTCATATATGACTCTACCAACGTGGTATTGATAAATAATACCATGTGGTAATAACCCGGTATTAAAGTTTTACAATATCGGTATCAAATTTTTACTCACCGGTATAATTTTAATACCAAGCGGTAGCAACTTTAATACCGAGAAATCAATACCTGCGTGACTATACCGGATTTCTAACAGTGCATTTTATTAGTTTTACTTATTAGATTTTGAATACTATGAATTAAATATTAAACACTATGAATTTTTTCAGCCATTCAAGAATTATAAACGGGGCTTAAAACGTCCATATTCATTATATCCATTATATGGATTCCATTTTAAATTTTGAAAAATAACGCATTTATTTCTTTGAACTCTTTGTACCTTCCGCTACGGAGATTAAATAAAAAATAAATAAATTGATTGCATGATTCCAATAATAAATTACAACTTGAGGCGAAAACATTTCTAAAAAATAATCCTAAAAATTTTGCTCTTTTGTATTGATTTCCTTTAAAATCAACAAATACAAATAAAATGTATATGCATCATGAAACCTAGAAGTTTTTCGAACTCGATTTATTATTAATATGTGTACATATATATTTATATACATACTTATATATGTATATGTATTATTTTGGTACTCAATCATCTCCATATCTGCATCATACATTTATACTTGGTAAAAAATAATGTTTCTCAACATGGCGATAATAAGTAGAATCCTTAAGTATCGTGTGGTTTGTTTTTACAATGAGATCCAATTTTTGCTTTCACACTAATCTTGAGTTGGGTCGCATTTTACGAAACAAACCATAATGTCGGACATCTTCATAGATTTAGATGCATCAACTGGTCCTTTGGTACTTTGAGTGTGACCGACTTCATCAGGCTTAAGATTTCAGATTCAAAATATTGCGACCTATATATCTAACAAAAATTAAGACAATGTATAATATCACCAACCTAATAACTGAGAACCGGCCCCGACAAGAGAGCAAACGTCAATCCATCAAGCACAGTAAATGTGACGAGATGATAAGCACTTTTTTACCTATATATAGTGTGGTCAGCGTGATTAGCTCATGTAATGAGAGTGATAACTCAACCCAACCTCTGTGGTGATGATAAGCACCTTTTACCCAATCGCTCAAGATAATTTAGGTCAGTATAATTTTAACCTCCACTTCGCGAACAGATCCATTGCAACACGGCATAAGTTAAAATGCTTTACAAAATTCATATCTTATTCCCCGCAATTATTGCAATTGTCTTCGTAATTCCAGCCATAGCATCTACGAATCTAAACCTACATCAGGAAAAAGCTTGTATTCGAACGAGAGAGGCAGTATTTCGAAATAATGATTATTACGCAAGTTGGACAGCGGATGAGACGTCCCAAACGGTTCATTTCCGCGTGCTAGTTGCCACAACTGGCTATGTGGGATTCGGCCTTTCTCGTTTTACTGGAATGACGGGGTCCGATATCGTTATTGGTGGCGTTTTTCCCAACGGAACTGCTTACTTTGCGGTAAATTAGTATGTCTTCAAATTACGTGAACCTGAACTACATACTTACACAATTTATTTTTAATTTAGGACTATTTCGCCACGAATAACGCTAACCCACCCGAATTGGACCCTAGCCAAGACTGGTTTCTGGATAGCGCGATTGAAAATGGGACCCACACTGAACTCTCTTTTCATCGCGCATTTGACACCATGGATGCTCAGAACGACCACGTCATAGATGTAAGTAAATAGGTCAATCAATTAAATGCTTAGATAAAAGTTTGGATAAACATTTTACCAATTTAATACAGGACTCTCTTACTACAATCATTTGGGCTATTGGAGCATCCGACACCTTATTTTCACACGGCTCTGCAAATCGAAACATGTATTTAGCATCAATTCTACATTTTCCAGGCTGTTCTGTTCTTCCCGAAAGGGAGGAAATCCTGAGTGACAGATACATTGTACGATGGACCGTGGATCCGGAAGCTAGGACGGTTGAATTCCACGTGATCGCCCAGAATACGGGATACGTCGGTTTCGGCCTGTCATACGCTGGAGCAACCATGTTTACTGCGGATATTGCGATTGGAGGAGTTTATGAAAATGGGACAGAGTTCTTTGGAGTATGAAATAAAAAGTTGGCAAATATTTTAAATTTGGTTTTAATTATATTATACTTTCTCACACAGGATTACACTGGAGTTGGCTTCACAAATCCGGTACGGGACGATAGTCAGGACTGGTTTTTAACTGAAGCCCAGCAAAATGCGACACACACTGAGCTTAAGTTTTGGAGAAATTTCGATACTGGAGACTTTGATCAGGATGCACCAATTACGACAAATTCAGTCCATTTACTGTGGGCTTTGGGGCTATCGGACAACATTGGGTATCACTTTGGGGATCGTGGCTCCACAGAGGTAACGCTAATGGATCCTATTGATTGTGTGCCGTGAAATACCAAATTCCTTAAATATTGGCACGCTTTGAAATATGCAAATTTAAATGCAAGTCGTTATAACTAAATAAAAGAATTTGCAAATGATTAAATAATGTATAAAATATTTACTGGCATACGATACGACGGATGAAGATCTTGTCCAGTTTATTCAAAACACTTTTCCACAAAAACAGCAAGGATTTGTAACGGTATCAAGCTTGCATGTAAATATAATTCATGATGTTTCTGGAGATACATAAGTGTTCAAATTAACTCGAAGGCGAAGGGATGACCTTTAGCCACGCCCCCACATGTGGCTGTCCCATAGCAAGGAGTCGGGCTTTATCCTCCGGTGTAGGTGCACTATTCTTGAGGTGCTTGATGGCGGCCTCCTGTTGAGGCTTCTCCCATGCGGCCTGAATACCCCTAACTTCGAGCGGGGGGAGTTCCGCCGGTCCCATGGGGTTCCACCTCTCTTCTCCTTCCTGCTGTGCGGTGTCGGTGCCATGTAGGTATGGCGGAAGTAGGCGCTCAACGAGGGGCAGGGCGCTGTAGGCGGACGCTAGGAAACACGGAATCGCCACGTCTACAGCACGCCTGACCCCCAGGCCACCTTCACTGACCGGAAGGGAGGACTGAAGCCAAGATTGCGGGGAAAGGAAACAGTTGAGAATCCCCTCCATGGACTCCTTAAGTTTGGCGTCGTAGAGGGTGAGGGAGTCAAATCTCCGCCAAGTGGGGGCACACCGCAAAAAGTAAATGAGACGCGGTGTAGAGACCGAAGCTCGAAGAAGGAAAAAGGCGGAGTGGGAGGAGCAGGGCGGTAGGAGCACTGGTTTTGGGTGGAGAGCACTCTCCAGGCCGGACGGCCCGAAGGGCCGTACCGGCCGGGTGGTGCAGACACTAGATATAATTGACCCTCCGAAGTACATGTAGCAGATGTAACTTATACATAACGTTCCTAAGCAGCGTTTACAAAGTTATAAATTGAATCTCGATTTTGTTCACTTCTGAAAAGTTTCAATGATCTCACAATATGAAACAATATTCAAATTTAAGCCTTCCAAGACGATTTCTGTAAATCGGTTAAGGTAGCATAAGATAAATAGTCCTGCAGTTGAAAAATTTTCAAGTTTGAGTTATTAACCCTATCAAACAATTTTTCATATGTAATTGAAGAGGCCGTTACACTATCAATCGAGCATAAATACGTTCGGCATTCTATCTGTGTCGACCCACAATGCCAAATTTCAGTCTCCCACGATTATTTCGAATATTTTGCACTAAATATATGATCCCTACTTCATCAAATATTTTTTGGTCTAACCTAGCTTCAAATTCTTTCATAACAATGGCCAGGTACATATTATTCTTTAATTTGGTCATGATCTATGAACGCGTTCGAACATTTCCGAGCGATAAACTGAATTGCATGCGTTACTTTTTTTCTAGGAGCTTTGATGCACGAAAGTGGGGTGTTACAAATGCAAATACGCATCTATCAAAAAATGGACAAAGAGAAATTGAATTATGGTTTCAACTATAACTAAAACTGTCTTAATGTACATAACTTATTCGATAATTTCTGTTTCGCGAAATTTGCCAATCAAGTCGCATCTCTGGAGCATCCAAAATCGGGAGATTTTTAAAACCGGTTTGTAGTAGAAGTTTTGGCACATTTCAGTAACCCGGTTTTCCATTTTGGAAACATGGTTCTAACCCGTTTTTTAAAAGCCCTGTATTGGTTAGAATTAAAAAAAAGTTTGTCAATACAGTAGCAAGCTATAATTTAATTTAAAATTAAAATTAAATATGAACTTGAGATTTTCGGAATTCATAATTTGTGTATATCAGAAATTAAAAATATTTTTGATTAGATAAAGATTAGATTTAGATTTAGATAGATTTTTGATTAGATATTGTGATTAGATAGGTACAGTTCTTACAAAAATATAGACTTAACTCATCAGGAAAATCCGGAATCGATTTACGAATCCCGAATTTTCAAGTACTTTGGAACCCTTAAAATAATGACTGGAAGAAATATGCCCTAGAAAAGTCCTTGGAGGTTTTTTTATCGGGTAAATAGCGATGCATTCTTGAAGTTAAGAACAAGGGCCGTCATATGGAATAAGTTTTGCCTTAAAAAATTCCGCCTGTGGGGTAAAAAAATTGCCAAACCCTTCCACGAACAAATGAGACACCGACTGTATTTGTGACCATAGCCGTAGATAAGAAATAAGCGATAGAAATTCGCTGTATCAATTTTAGCAATTTTGCACATAAAAGGCCGGACGAGAATTTTACTCTCCAGGCCGGACCAAGGACAGAAACGGCACTGGGGAGGAGAGGTGAAGAAGTCGGGCCCTAAGTGTAGCTAATTGTTCGGCCTTCGCCCCCAGTACAGCCTCGATCGACTCGTCGGTGAGAGGAGCACCCAGGAGTACGGCGGCTTCGGGGGAAATCTCCTGTATTCCCGGTGCTGCCCGACGAAAACGCTCCAAAATTTCAAGGCGGGAATGTTCGTCCGTCCCTAGCACACCCACTTCACACTTGGCGGTGTTCAGGCGAAGACCAACTTCCTCGCCCATGCGGATAATGGTGTCCAGCGCGACTAACACTTTTTCTTGGGTGTCCGCTATAGTGGCATCGTCCAAATACCACAGGTTTAGCTCCGTTTCGACGGCGAGGATGATGGGTTGAACGACGAGCGCAAAAAGGGCGGGACCTAACGGGTCCCCTTGTTGGGCCCCGCGGCGGGAGGAGATGGGAGTGTCGCCATAGTATAATTGAGACGGAAAAGAATAAGCCTGCGATAAAAAACTGAACATTGAGGGGAACCTTTCATGAATAATGTAGAGAATTGTATCCCGCCGAATCTCGTTGAAGGCGTTGTTAAAGTCGACTTTCAAAAAGGCTTTAGATGTCGTATGGGCGTGTCCCCAATAGATGCGGGCCGCATGTGCCGCCGCTTCGGCACCCCCCTTATCCCCACCCCCAGTTGATGGGGTGCTAGGTACTCCACAAGGTCGGGGGACATTCTTTTCAGTGCGATTTTAGCGGAAAGGCGGCGCCATACATTTCCAACCGCAACGGGCCGAATCCCGCCAGTTTTCTTCTTTAGAGCGGTGAGGGAAGCTCCGTAGAAAATCGGGCAGAAAGGGACTGGAACATTCCCGCTGAGAACAACATTTATAAAATTTACGATAGCCTCAAGTAATTTTTTCCCCACTTCCCCCTGCCCAGTGGCGACAAGGTCTTTGTTTTGGTTGTGGTCACCTCCTCCAAAACCTTCGTTAGGGCACGAGCAACTTCCATTCTCGCCCCTTTTGGAACTCGTCGCAGTGTGGGTGTGGTCATTTTGAGTCGACTTAAGACTTCCCCCCAATCGTGTGGCACTGCCTCCCCAGATGGTGGTGAGTCGACCCACCGCATGCCTTCATAAAATGTGTGGGCATCTGCTCCAGTTGTTCGACGACTGACAACGTCGGGCAACAACTCCTTGATATATTTTCCAAGGGTGGTCTCGGCGACTCCACCCTCTCCCGATTCGTCAACAAAAACTGCATAGCGGGAGAAAACATCCGCCTTCCTTATTCGCGAGTTCGTATCTGGGATTAGGGACTGCTGAATCCACCGGCGAGCTGAGAGAAATGTATCCTTCTTGGTCACACCAGGGGAAGATGGTGACACTGACGTTCGGCGGCGAGTCGGGACGGAGAGGGATGACGTGTCGAACGGAGTAGAACCGATTGCATGAACTTGAGGGACGGGGGAAACAACTTCATTCGTAGAAGTTTCCTCCTCTACAGAACCAATCGCTGAGAAGTCGCGGTCCATGAGCGATTTTCGGTGGCGGCCCTTAGGTCGTGGTGGCGCTGACGACGTGTCCCCCGGTGGTTGTGATTCATTGTCGGGAGGATCACCAAAAATTCCATCACGTGACGACATGGCGACCTGTACCGGGCCCTGCGCGCGAAGAGAGGCCAATTGGACTCACACAGGGACAAGAAAAATATAAATAAGCTTTTGTACATATGTACATACATAAGTATAAACCGTATGATGAAAATGCATTATCAGAACTTAATCGTTTGCATTAATTGTTTGAGCAATAAGAGTACAATGAGCTATAGTTTTACAAATGTACATGTAAATATGTATACATACATCATAAATAATTTTGCGAAATAAGGGCATGCTCATTTCCTGGGTAAATTTGCGAAAAAGATACCATGGTTTTGCGGCAAAAGTTTCGCGAAATGTCGCAAATGTCGCAAACTTCGCAAGTTATTTTGCTGTGCACAATTTTGCGAGATATGCGAAGGTTGACGCGAGAGAGCTCAATAATTATTTCGAATTAGATTAGTTATTTATTTGAAGATAACTTATAGAATATTCAACAAAATTTAAGATAATAAATTAGAAATTAATGAAAATGTATGAACGTAGTAACTTAGAAATACAAATGGGTGAAGTTATCTAGTAGGTGCATGCATATGTAGAATATTACAAATTTTTATTATTGTTTCTTGATCTGAAAAGCAGTGTATAACTGATGATTCGCGACACTTGAATAAACTACAGTAAACAGTAAGGTGCCCTGTTTTTCAGATATGTAAATAATTTCTACATATTATTATGTAGATATCCACCCGGCACGAGTATTAATTTCTGAAAAAAATTTCATTGGTCTTTCCCACACCCAAATTTAGTGAGCACGCTTAAAATCTCAATGTCGCTAGTTTTAATGTAGGATCTGTACTTGTAGGTGATTTCCAATTCTGCCCGGCCCGGGTAAAATGCTCCGACCTGGGTAATTTATTTAGAGGACTGTAGTTCAAAATTTCAATATATGCAGAACATGTACATGGTAAAAGTACACTGGTAAAAGATTGCACTCACTGTACTTCTCAAAATGGGCACAGGATTTTTTAGTGTGCCCATTTTGAGCAGTACAGTAAGTGCAATCTTTAATTTTAAATTAAGCAAACTATACTCAATCCAGGGTAATTTTACTGTCTATCAAAAGTTAAAGTTTTACCCAGGATTTAGTATAGTTTAGAGTCTAGGCTACATTTATTTTTCAAAAGGGCAAAATTATTTTTAAGAGCGTAGAATAGAAATCAGATTTCAAAGTGTATTCATACATGCAATTACGTATTAAATATTTTCCAATTTTGTATTAAAATTGTACTCAAAGTCAGCAATTTACCTCAAGATTTTGTTCACTCGACCAAATATCCGGATCTACAAAGGATGCCCTCCCAATCAGGATGGGATCCCCGTTATCGTCCCATCCTCCAATTAAGGGGGTATTGGAAAGGCTCTTATTTTGCATTAAGTTGTATCCAATCCACTCCAAATAGTTCGCGGATGAGACAAGGACCTAAATAAGATACTTATTTAGATCAAAATTAATTTAAAAAATTAAGCTGCTGCTATGGAACATACGAATGAATACCCTTAATGTTTAAGAGAACTTTTAAATATGTAAGTTAAATATACTGATGTAGATATGCGTACATATACATATGTATGGCACCCCTATATTGCTGGACACTTATGTATGTACAGGGTGGTTTAAATGTCAGGTTACAGTGGAAAATTTTTCAATGGGAAAAATTCGTAAATTTCCATTAGTAACGGATTTGGGATTGAGATTGTTATTATTTTTTATCAAAACTTATGGAACACTGATGAAAAAGTACTTAAAATATTTAATCTCAGGGGGCAAAATTTCGGTAACTAATGGAGATTTGCGAATTTCTCCCATTGAAAAATTTTCCATTGTAACCTGACACTTACATAAACCCCCCTGTATAAGATGCAGAAATTTTTTGGGGTAAAAAATTCTAAGGTATACAATAAGTTAAAAAGCTTTACACAATTTGTACACGGTCCTTGAAGGACTTACCTCATAGTTGAACAAGCTCATTTCCCACGGTCCATATCCAACATAGGCGGCCAAATGTCCGGTCACGACTTTGCCTGGGATTAAGGATTGATTAAACACCGCCCTAGCGACGAATACCTTCTTGCCATCGTGCAATCCCTTGTTCTCATATCCGGAAACGTACGCCCCCAGGGGAATATCCCCGTATGATCCGGGTACCCAGGTGGGGCACATTTCGTCTTGTCCACTTTCCTGCATTCTTCTCAACTTGTCACGAGCATTTATGGCCGAATCGAATTGAACGGCTAATCTGTTAGATTCGGTTTTCAGACGGTTCAGTTGTTCTGAAAAAGTGGGATTGAGTATGTATGTAAAGTTGGAAATTTTAACCTTTTGATGACGAAATATGTAGATTTGTGTAAAGGCACGTTTTCCGTTACCGACGAAATATACAAATTTTCATACTGCATAAATTACGATGGCATCAAAATGTCTATAAAAAAGTAAGTGTTACTTCATAAAAACTATTTTAAAAATTGATTTTTAAATATTTTTCGTCTAAAATTTTGGAATTTGTCCTAGATTGCCCAATTGTAAAAAGTTAATGTCCCTCATCAGAAAACTAAACAAATTAAAAGTATCGTACATACCGAGGAGAAATTTTATTTAAAAAGTTAGCAGTAAGAAAGTGGTTAATTCGTGTGTTTCACCATGACTCTTGATGTCGACAAAAAGGAGAAAATGTACAAGTAAATATATATTGACCACTTTGTAACGGAAATTTCGTAACTTTACATATGTATGTCGGAACCTCTGTCACCCATTTCCCTCATTTCTCCGGACTTATCCTAAATAATAAGTTAGCCCGAAAATGAATACGAGCCCCTGTCTGAATCGTAAAGCAATCATGACTGGGAAATATGAGACATTTTAATTTAACATTATTATTACAAACCCCCCATTTCATTCTTACCTTCCACAACGGCCAATGGCGAAGGATATGATTCCGTCACGTTTTTTCTTCCTTTCTCTTCGACTTCTTTATGAAGTGGAATCGCCGAAGTTTCGAAACCTGCTGAAACATCGACTGCCACAATTTGAGGTACAACTGGCGCCGCTGGAATTGCCGGTTGTGGTAAAATTGGAGTAGGAGAGGGGGCAATGTTTGTCTCTGGCGTGATTTCCGGTGATTCAAATTGCTCTTCAAAAAACTTCTCCCACGATCGCAATGCTGAGAGGGGAATGGGATTCTCAACTTGGGGAGAAAAATTGGAAATAAAATTTATAAAATATTAACAGTTTCCCAAATAAAGTTAACAACATTTTTTTGAAAAAGGTTTTTTTTGTTAAGGTTTAAATTAGACAATGAGAGGATTCATGATTCCCTCGTACCCTTATCGTAGAATAAGTTACGACAGTTTGGAGTTTTTGTAAGCGTCGTAAGATTTCGTCATAAAAAATCGTGTTCCACAGGTTACGATTTTTATAAAACTTAACTCCTATTTTTTTGTCGTAAACTATTTTACGATTCAAAGAATACTGAATATTCCAAATAATTACCTCGATAGTGCTCCTGTGGCATTGGAGATACTACCAGTGCGGAAAACAGTACCGATAAAATAAACAGTTTCCACATTCTAATTTTTTTTGCTGCTTTCAAAAAGTAGTAAGAGACTCTTTACTTCGGAGAGGTTCTTTACTTGGCAAAGTGTAAAGCAGAAGTGCCACTTATTCCAAAAAATGTGCAAACTATATGTATGCTCGCATACATATATTTTAAACTAGCTTATAAGCCCGTCTCCCGCCGGGCGAGCGAGAATTATAAGATGCAAAAGTCTGTCGGAAGTCGAAGTGAAAGCAAAGAAAGTCAAGTTTGGACTGGCGCTTATTAAGTGTTAATGGCAGTTATCTTGGGCTGGTTGTAGCCTTGACTTCGATTTCACATTAACTTTACTTTAAACTAAATTGGCGAATCCTGCATACCCATAATCAGTCATGGGTATTCCACTTCACTTTAAATTTAAACTAAAGTGGCCAAGAAAACCACCCATGATAACCGCCCATGACAAACACCCATGACGACCACCCTAAGATAACCACCTATGACAACCACCCCCAGACAACTACCCCCAGATAACCACCCATGACAACCACCCCCAGACAACCACCCCCAGACAACCACCCATGACAAACACCCATGACGACCACCCCCAGATAACCCCCCATGACTACCACCCACAGATAACCCCCCACGATAACCACCCGTGACAACCACTTATGACAACCACCCCCAGACAACTACCCCCAGAAAACCACCCATGACAACCACCCCCAGATAACCACCCATGATAACTACCCCCAGATAACCACTCATGATAACCACCCATGACAACCAACCCCAGATAACCACCCATGATAACTACCCTCAGATAACCACCCATGACAACCAACCCCAGATAACTACCCCCAGATAACCACCCATGATAACCACCCCTTGATAACCCCCCATGATAACCACCCACAGATAACCCCCCATGATAACCCCCCCCAGATAAGTACCCCCAGATAACCACCCATGATAACCACCCCTAGATAACCTCCCATGATAACCCCCCCCCCCAGATAACCCCCATGATAACCCCCCAGATAACCCCCCATGATAACCCCCCCCAGATAACCCCCCATGATAACCCCCCCCAGATAACCCCCCATGATAACCACCCCCATATAACCACCCCCAGATAACCCCCCATGATAATTACCCCCAGATAACCACCCATGACAACCACCCCCAGATAACAACTGCATGACAACCACCCCCAGATAATCACCCATGATAACCACCCCCAGATAACCACCCCAGATAATTAATTGGTAAAGTGTGCACTGGTGATCACTTCACACTTTTGTGTCTCGTCACCATTTGCACAAATCTGTGAAGTGATCACTTCACAGATTTGTAGTGGTTATCTGGAGGTGGTTATCTGGGTGTGGTTGTCAAACAGTGGTTATCTGGGGGCGGTTGTCAAAAAGTGGTTATCTGGACGTGGTTGTCAGACAGTGGTTATCTGGAGGTGGTTGTCAGACAGTGGTTATCTGGAGGTGGTTGTCAGACAGTATTTATCTGGGGGTAGTTGTCAAACAGTGGTTATCTGAGGGTGGTTGTCAGACAGTGGTTATCTGGAGGTGGTTGTAAGACAGTGGTTATCTGGGGGTGGTTGTCAGACAGTGGTTATCTGGGGGTGGTTGTCAGACAGTGGTTATCTGGGGGTGGTTGTCAGACAGTGGTTATCTGGGGGTGGTTGTCAGACAGTGGTTATCTGGGGGTGGTTGTCAGACAGTGGTTATCTGGGGGTGGTTGTCAAACAGTGGTTATCTGGGGGTGGTTGTCAGACAGTGGTTATCTGGGGGTGGTTGTCAAACAGTGGTTATCTGGAGGTGGTTGTCAGACAGTGGTGATCTGGGGGTGGTTGTCAGACAGTGGTTATCTGGGGAATTTATATTTTTAAATAAAGAATATAAATTTGAATTTTCGCGCCATTCGAAACTTGACTTTCTCCACTTTCACTTCCGTTTACGACAAATTCCTTGGACAGACATTTCCAGCTTATAATATAGATGATATTATTTATTTGAGTTACAGGTGACAAAAATTAAAAAGGTTGAATACCTTCTTAACATCGGTTGGATCATACACAAAGCATGCGAAGGATTCTCAGGAAATTTTGACCCCTACCCCCAGTGTGCCCTGTTTGCCCATGTTAATTAACCTGGGAAAGGTATGATGCCTTGACCCCCTTCAAACCGATCACATTGTTTCTGTACAACCCCTAATATGAAAAGGTAAAAATAGCTTTGTAAAAAGCTTCCTGCACCTGCGCAAATTCGCGTGTATTTTCACCCTTTTAATGGAATAATCCAAAGTAAACGAGTGAATCCAATCAATGTAAGTGCATCCAATAAAAATCAAAAACCCGAACCACCTGGAAAGTTGTAAGAATGAAATTGACTCTCAACAATACCGAGAGCCGTGTGGAATTTTGTATATTTATGTATGTATGTATTAATCCTGCCATTGTTGTTCATAATTTGCTGCACATAGTCAGAGCTGGGTGATTATTGGTTTTTGAGGGTGGATTAAGGATTATGATTAACCACAAAACAATGTGGATTGTGATTAAATTATTTCCGTGAGATTAATTCATGTCAGGATTAATCTGGATTAATCCATAAATTCTGAAAATTTCGGGATTATGGATTATGGATTAATAATCCGGATTAATCTGGTGATTAATGATTTTTACACCATATCTAGCGCAAAGAATTTCAACTACGTGGTTTCACATAAAAATGACGCCAGTTTCAATTGATATATGTATGTAGCACAATGCAGCGAGAACATGTTGATTCTTCAAATGGTAGCTGACAGAACAACATTGTGAGAACTTGAGACTTCAAGCTACACTGTGGGATGAATGGAACTATGGGAATTGAACTGAGTAATCCAGATTGAGAATTAATCATGAATACGTAATCATGATTAGTAATCATGATTTGGATTAATCTGGATTAATAATCATGATTAGTAATCATGATTGGGATTAATCAGGATTAGTAATCCGTAATCACGATTATGGATTAATGAAATCAAGTGGGATTATTCCCGGATTAATTCTAATTCCAGAAAAATCGGGATTATGGATTGGGATTAATCTACAAAAAACTCACATTTCCGGATTAGGGATTATGGATTAATAATCCATAATCCGGGATTAAAATCCATAATCCTTAATCAGGATTATCCCAGCTCTGCACATAGTTAATATATATTTTGGTAATATTTTGTGAGTCATGTACATATGCAGGTGCATGATTTAATGGAAGAAATCTTTTTATGTTTGCCGCTTTCAATTTATTATGATAAAGATAACTAGATACATTAGTGCTGAATACACTTTGAAAAAACTGGTATTAAATTACTTCTCGGCGGAGTGTTTAAATGTATTAACATTTTTATGACTCTACCGACAAGGTAATAACGGACGGTAAAGTTCAGCAATGTGGCAATGAACAATGTAACACTCAGGAGGGGAGCTTGCGAGGTTGATAATAACAGATCTCGATGCCCTTTGGATATGTGATAGGGTCTCATGAGTGTACTAAAACCCTGAAGTGGTTTGACTCCATGGGCACATTTGCGCCCGCCACACCCACTCAAAAATGCCCAAAAAACGCTTTCACTCCAGTTTTCACTCACTCAAATCCACGCCAGAAATCCAATTTTACTCGGATTTTGAAATTTCTTTCACCATTACGCTCCCAGATAGTTGCTTTCTTCAATTCCATATCAAACTCAATTTTGCTGATAATTATTTCGCAGGCGTAATTTGAGTTGCTGATTACTACAACAATCCTCATTCAGAATTTCAAATTTTAAAAATACTAAAAATTTCGAAAAAATTGGGTTTGATATTGGATTGAAGAAAGCAACTATCTGGGAGTATAATGGTGAAAGAAATTTCAAAATCCGAGTAAAATTGGATTTTTGACGTGGATTTGAGTGAGTGAAAACTCGAGTGAAAGCGTTTTTTGGGCATTTTTGAGTGGGTGTGGCGGGCGCAAATGTGCCCATGGAGTCAAACCACTTCAGGGTTTTAGTACACTCATGGGACACTACCACATATCCAAAGGGCATCAAGATCTGTTATTATCAACCTCGCAAGCTCCCCTCCTCAGGAATAAACTACCTAAATAGATAATACCAATCCGGTACGATGTTATTCCCAAATCCATGAATAATTTTAGGAGAAACTTACTCCAAAAGTAGTATACATTTTGATAGGCAATAATTTATTTAGCAAAATACAGGGAATTGTCATTAAGCTGAATATTTTAGTAATAAGAAAAAAAATATATCACACAAGAAGTACAACTTATTCATATTTATAAGTTTGTATGTATGTATGTAAAACTATGTATTTCCTGAACTTTAAAAATTTTAGAGAAGACTTTCTCATTTTTGAAGGAAAGTCATCTAACGAAGCTATGTTTAAATTCATAACAGTACCTAAAATTTTAATGTCAACCCATTTCATATTAACCTGCAATAAAAATCGCAGCAGTGCTACGACAAATGATACATAAGAATAAAAGGCCTACATGTATAAAAGTGTGATTAGCTGATCCACACAGTACTGCCAAATGCCCAATGCCGTCATCCTGTCAAAGTACTGGCCATCGCCTATCGTCAACTTCAGTGGCGGACATGACTTCAAAAATTTCTTGAACCATTTTCTATTTCCGAATTTGTGATAGAGTTTCATCTCGTCCAAGAAACCGACCGAGACTTCGAAAAGATCAGAGAGGGAATGGAATATGACATGAATGACGACAAATAGGTCGACCGCGACGATGACGAAGAAGGCGAGGACGGGGAGAGGTAAAATTTTTGTGGATGTGAGGAGTACATATAGTGACGCAGTTTCCCCGACAATAATCCCACCAACCATTTGGACTAGAGAGGGATATTCAAAGGCGCAGTTTCGCAGGTTTGAGAGCCATTGGACCGTTCGGTAGTCGGTGATCCGAGTGGAATTCTTGTCAGTAAGGACTCCCCTGTTAAGTTTTAATTATATTTTTTATCAGATGTTAGAGAGATTGCGCATGAGTAATTTTTTGTGATTGTGACCGTAGATTGATTACCTATAATATATTTACAATCACAATCATATAAAGCTCGCATCCTTTCTGAAGATCAAGTCAATAAGTAGATTGCGAATGAAAGTTTTCATACTAATTGTTTAAACGAAAGCTAAATTTATCAATAGCTTTAATGAGAAATTTAGCGTTTATGTACCCATACGTGACAATTTATTTAGCGCCCAAACCCTTAATTTTCAATGTAATTAATAACATGAACATCATAATTCCATAATTGGTTGAAAGATACCAGTTCAAACTCACCGTTTAACCTGCTGAAGCCAAATTTTCATAACTTCCGCGGGATAGATCAATGCAACAGCGAGCGGTATACTGACCACACTGAAGACCACCCACCACGTGAAGGCCTCATAGATTCCGCTGAAAAGAGCCACAACGGAAAAGCTATAGTCGTCCTTATCCCATTTATCCCCGCATTGGAGAATTGCCATGCTGACAAGGGGAGGCATGCAGGGCTTGACCAAACTTAGGCCAAACATCGACATGGCTGTTGAAGCGAGAGATGTAACGACAAGATGCATCACATTCACTATCTTCTTGCTCACGTAGTTCTCGCCATCTGAAAAATTAGAATTGAAAAAGTAGTAATATATTTATATAGGTATTCATAATTCCTTCGTACCCTTCGTATCGTAAAATACGTTACGACGGTTCTAAGATTTTGAAGCGCTGTCAGGTTTTGTCATCAAAAATTGCGTTACTAACGTTTCGATTTTTACGAAACTTGACACTTTCTTTTTCGTCGGAGGATACGGAGGATACACTTTTTGTGTAACAAAATTATTACGGGGCGTCGAGATATTACGTCATGAAGGGGTAACAATCTTAGTAAAAAAATTTATCGCGACTGGCGATAAAGCATGTTACGAGTTTTCAGGTACTAATAAATTTCTATTACACTAAAAATAAAATGTTAAATAACTTGTAAAACCATTTACCTACTTTAATTTTGATCAGGTCAAAAATTGATCAAATTTTAGACTTTTTTTACAAATTTAGCTATACCAATTTTACACTTTAATTAACCTTACCTGTCCTCAAGCAGAGTGTCTCCATCTGGATAGAAACATTGATCAGGGGCAGATTTGTACCCCGCTTGACCCACATGTCTATCTGAGAACCCCCACGGCAATAAATATGACGAGGTGATACCACATGATGACATGCTTCCAGTTGGGGACCGGGTTCGGGGCAAAGTATCGCGTTACGAACCAATTCAGGAGGACGGCCACGTGTACGAAACTGCTCAAGGTGCAGAGCACCTCGAGAAATTTGGCTTTCCTCGTGGCGTGCGGGACAACTACTTCGTCACGAGGATGGGACGGCTGGTGGTGCCCAAATGGGAAGGTGTACGTCCACGTGGTAAGTTTAAGAAGGGCGTGGATCCCGCCGAGATACGAGGTTTCATCAGAAGGTCGAAAAATGAAGGAGTATTCCGTGACATATTGTGACATGCGGGATTTTATGGAGGAAAAACGAACGGATTCCATCAAATCCCTGTCAAAATTAAAACAAATAAGTTATGACAAATGTTTAGGCATTGCAAGACCTTGATAAAATGGGCGATTTTCTTTTAATTAACTGGTCGCTACCTGTATAAATAATTCATGGCTATGGTAATTATGAATCACGTACGGTGTTTATTTATGTCTCGCGCCCGTAGATTTTTTAAATCTGAAATCATCCAACACGGAAACTCTTGCCCGAACTATTCAGGTCTTCAGGAAATTTGAATATTCAAAAATGTAACTGGAAAGGATAGATAGTAATTTAGCAAAACAGGTTTCCATCAACCTATCCAATTCATTTGAGTATCCATATGCAAATGTAGTAATCCATATTCTACTTACATACAACATATCGAATCGATGATTTTGCTTAAGCCGTTAAGAGTTACATCATTTATTACTTTTTTACTGGATTAAATTTTTTTCCGTATGGAAATATCTCCTCGTAGAATACTTATCGTAGGATTTAGAACAGACTGAACGCATCGAGTATGTATTTATGTTTACAGCTTGTTTGTGGAAAGGATTACCTAACTCATGACTTCTGAGCATGACTTTTTTTCGTGTCAATATTTTCCCTAGTCTTCCTAAATTGGGATTAGTCTTATTCCTAGCTTTCAGATATTTCGATACCAATGACATTTATGCATCTATGTATGAGCCAAATTTAACATCAGTTGGACCATGCGTTCGCAGTTTATCAAGTAATTGTCGCTTCACTATATCTGTAAACATCCTCTGTATTAAATGTTTACAAGTCCTGCGTAAGCTACATGCATATATATCTAAAACTTACAAGTGGTATGCTTTCATTACAAACATGCAAAAATATTACATATCGTCGTTGAAGGATGGAAAAGAGCTATTGCCATTTGGTGTTAAATAAGGAAAGAGCCATCTCCATTTTGTGTTAAATAAGGAAAGAGCCTTCTCCATTCGTCGTCAAATAAAAAAGGGGCCTTCTCCAAACTCCAAGTTTTTCCAGGAGAGTGAGAAACAACAAGCAATCTGAAAGTGTGAAATCAACTCTAACAAATATTTATTTCGAGAAGTATATAACTTGTTAAAAAAGAAAATAATCGCGAAATAAGTTTATGTTAGCTAGAGTTGATTATTATCATTCTTAACAAATTATATACTTCTCAAATTATGACACGACGTATATACAAATTAGGTATGTGGCCACTTATCATAAATGATAACTTTTTAGGATCACTGATTTGAGATTTAGGAGGTCTTTAAATTTTCTTAACATTATCTTTTGACTTAATAATTTATAATCAGGTTTAACAATTGACATCTGCTGATTTTTCTTCTATATGTTCAGTTTTCCTCACCGTTTTTATGCCCCAATGTTTTTATTTCAGCCAAGCGATAAATTGAAGTCATTTATTCTCATTTTCACTCAAGTATATTTTTCTTCTAATAACTGGTTGGCGACTTGGTAATTTAAATGACAGCTTATGATTTAATAAACAACGCTGCTCGATTATTTACTTCCCTTGAATTGGAAGAGATTCGCTCGACTCGAGTCGGGCGGAATCATATGTAAACACCAAATGCATCAACTTTCCGATTTTTTTCTCGTCGATAATTAATTTAAATAAATATGTGTGATATATTTTCTGATAAATTAGAACATGAGGATTCTGAATTTTCAAAAATCGCAGATTGCCCCTTAAGTGGAGAAGGCCCCTTTTTTATTTGACGACGAATGGCAATAGCTCTTTCCTTATTTAACACAAAGTGGAGAAGGCTCTTTCCTTATTTAACACAGAATGGCAATAGCTCTTTTCCATCCTTCAACGACGATATGCATATAAAAATTTGAAGATTATTTCAGCAATAAATGCACTCTTAGGCAACTGGTATTGAATCATTGCGAATCATTACCGGACGGAGTACATATATGACTCTACCGGTATCGGTAATAACGATCATTACGGCGCAGTAATGTGATGGTAATGAAATCTTTACCACTTAGAATCAAAATATAACCAACCCGGCATGGAATTATTACCAATTCAATACCAGTACGGAATACATTTGTGACTCTACCAGATGCTTTACAGTGTGAGGAAAGCTGTTATCTAAGATTTATTTAAATAGTTTAAAGTTTAAACCATCAACTGGTCGAATCGTCCCTACAAGAAATATTATGTTAACTAACTACATAAATATGTATCACGAATATGTACATATGTAACTTGTAGAAGTCTTGTAAGGTTAAAAATAAGCTAAAGTTTCCGAATAATTTTCAAGGTAGCAATAATAAGTATGCACAACACCCTCTATCTCGCAAACTTACCTCCATGGAACCATTTTGTTCAACGACTTGAAACAATTTAGCAACAAATTTAGCTTTTCGAATTTTCTTGTATTTCAGTAATAAATTTTCGTTTATTCCTTTGTTTTATGTTTCCTTAGGTCTATATAAATACATATCCCAGATTCATCGCAACCTGGCAAGCTCGCAGTTGTAATAGATCCTATCTTACAGCCTAGACAAGCTAAAATATGACAATCGATGGTAAAATAGAAAACCGTTTAGGATTGACAAATTTAAAAATTAAACTGTTTTTATTAGTTTACCTGCAATAGGGACTCGTATCTATCTATATTTTGTATATTCTTCTGCGGAATAGGTTACGCTATAAATTTGAGCAAGATAAGTCTTCTCATTTACGACGTGCTTATAGGGCCAACTTTTGAGATAAATTAGAAGTTAATTTCAACATTGTCGATATCTATAAATATTAAAAGGCCTGTAAAAATCCCCCCTATCAAATTTTGTCAGATTATTGGGATAAAATAAAACCTTGAATTACACGTGGTTTATGTTCAGCATTTGTTAAAAATACCCAAGATTTGTACAATTTAATGCCATGCGTGTATTAACTGATGATGATGTTAAGTACATATGTATTCTAAATTAATGACAATCTTCTTGAAATTATAAGTAGAATGTAATATTCCGCTGTTTTAGTGGTGTTAATAAAGGTTATTTCATGCACTCTTAAAGGCTTGGTGGTAATCGCCACCGTGCATATCTATGTGACTTCACTAAATGGAGATAAATCATGCCCGCATGGTGACAAATTGTCACTGACGGGTGCAAATTTTAGCACCACTAGATGAGAATCACCGCTCGGTGAAGTCACACACATATGAACCCCCTTCGGTGACGATTAGCAACGGGTTTTTTAAGAGTGGATAATATTTATCAGTCTTACATATGTTCCCTGACGAAGGAATTATTATGATTCTGAAAGTTAAGCAAATATTGAAGATTTTATGAAAAAAGACATGCAGTGATGCAACATCATCTAACATTATGATCTTATATGATGAACATTATGATTTTTTTGTTATTTTTTCATTTTGGGATTGGTATAAATAGGCGAAACTAAATTTATAGAATAACTCTTTGAAAAGTTGAGACGTTAACAAAAAATTGTCAAACTTCTAATGATGATCTAATGGTAAAATGGATGTAAGCAATGAATTGGCGACCGCTGTTTCTAACGAAAAACTAATTTTTTCTTTTCGTCAATTTATTTTAACTTTATAGTTGAAGGTAATTGATTTGATACGAATATTGCCAAAAAATTCATTTGGTTATTTATAAAAGCCTCATCGGGATATACTTATTTACAAGTGAAAGGGATAACTCCATAACCGACGATATGCATGTGTATGTTACTGTACTGTACTGGATGGTAAATTTATTTCCACGGGGGAAATATATTTTATTTCGCAATTATACGTAATATGTCAACCAGCGTACTAGTATTAGCTAATTAATTTGTTGCATAATGCGTATAGTTAAAATATTGAAGTAACCTGCCACCAGATTATTTATAAAGTAGTGATAGACACTGGTAAATATTAGTTATGAATGAGGGCAAAATTCGTTGTGGGGTAGGGTTCCCAAAAATTATCAAATGCACTCAAACGACGGAGACGAGTTTGTGTGATGCAGATGCGTCACGCCCAGCTAATAAATGCAAGCATAAGCAACAAATATGAGGCTTCGTACCTAAGCATTTTTACATAATTAAAAGTATAACCATATTATTCAAATATGAACATTTCGAGTGAATTTAAGAGATTGAGGAAATATAAATTTGCAAATATATATCAAATAAATGAACATCTGGTACCTTAAACTATATTAAAATTGCCTTATTGTAAATCAATGATTAATAATTTTATCAGATATTGACTGTAACCTCACCTTCAAGTATTACGAAACCGAATATGTATATATTATGATGCGTTATTTTATACTAATTAATTAAAATTTACTATAAACTGTTTCCTTAACTTTAAAATATTAGGTTCCCTGTAACTATTTATGTTGAACGTTGACCACAGTTTACCAGAATGTTTAACTTACTTTGTAAACTTGTTTGGACCCAAGTTAGCAAGAAATCTGAAGCTTCGACAGAAGAGACATATTATTGTTTAATATTTTATAATAGTCACCCCAAATATAGATATTTTTATTTATGAATGCATATATTAAAAGCTTTTCAACGCATAACATTATTAACAGTGTAAAGTCTAGAAGAATTTTGAAGTCCAGAGCTTAACGGATTTCTTTTATTTTCCTCTTGACCCTTCCCACGTTGCTGCGAGTAACGTTTGTTCTGGGATGGTGGGTCGACGAATGGCAGATATAGATTTTCTTCTTCGCTATCAACATCTCGTACACTCAGTTCCAAATATTTGGCAAATATGTACATATGTATGCAAATATTATTTGCATACATACGGGGAGCAATAAGATACATGTATCAGGTATCTTATTGCTTCCATAACTAAAGTTTGTTGCATAAAGTATGTAAATGTTGTAATAAAATTTGATCTTAAAGCTTTTACTGAGTATCAGGATTCCTGATACTTCCTGATTCAGGAAGTATCTTTCGACATAAGTATTATTTACTGTGATATGTTTGATTTCCTTGTTGAAATCTGTGTTTACAAAACATATGTAAACAAAAGGGTTGACAACCGCCGGCACAACAACTATTTTATTTGTTTTGCACGGAGCATACAATACATTTTAAGAGATTAGAAAATCAGACTCAAAAGTAGAGTTCAGTCTGCTGAAAAATTACCTTATCGATGTCGCGACAAATTCAAAGGTAATGTAAATATTAATAATGCCAGAAGATACATATTTATGTTTAATGTAGCTACGACTCAATCCGTTCTGGTGAATGGAATATGTCAGTTATTTATCAGTCAATTTCAATTTACCTTTATTCAAGTGTGAGTCACATTCAGACTGGTTTACAAGAGTCAGTCTTTCTCAATGTTCATGTCCCAACAGTATAAAATTTCATTTGTATTTGGTGTTTCAACTTTCTGCAAACTTAAAAATTAGTCTAAAATTGTGAAACATTGTGTAATATTTTTAACCGAATTTGCTAATTTTACTTTGCTATTAATTCTGCAAAAATTGCAAAACTTCAAAGGGAGGAACCACGTGCAGAAACAGGCAGGTTCAAATCAGACTGAATCCCTGAAACTTAACCCATATGTATGTAAAATGGTTGTTGGGTTATGATTATTTTCATATATGTAGATGTAAATAAGACAATAGCTGATGTTTTTTTACAGTACTCTTCCGCATTTGTATTAAATAACAATTTTCTTTTCTCAGATGCTAAACAAAAACGAAAACATTCATGGCCCATTTTTGATAAATGTTTTCCAAACATGCCCGTCATCAGCGAGTTCAACAAACGAAGGGCTTCAATGGGATGCCAAGCTTTGTTTAAATTCGACACACTTATGTTCCCTGCATCCACCAGAGGAACCGATGTGTATAAATGTGAGTGTATTCTCGATCATTCAGTAATAATTCAGATCTTGAATGATTTCCAGATAATAATGTTTTTCTATTCATTTGACAGGACGCTACTACACATGGGTATGGCCTACTGGTCTTGTTAATCATTTTGTTATGCAGTATTATGCTAACGATGAAGAAAAAAATGAAAACAAGGAACCTAAAAACTCAAAAATTTCAATTCCTCTCAATTGAATTATGTTACTATTTCGGTTTTAAATACTTCTCGCTTACATTTAACAACCACCATTCACAAGCAAAGTACAACTCGGTAGTCTCATACAAAAATTGTGAAAATATGAATAAATGTTTCCAAGTCTGCAGGATTCAACACAATCGTACGATGGAAGAGTTAAGATATCGACAGCAAACCGAATTGAGAGAGGCTGAGACGAAGAATAAGAAGAGATTAGAAATTGCGGTATCCAAATTGCGAAAGCGTGACGAGGAAAGGCGCAAAGAGAGAGAAATGATTTATGAAGAGGTTGATCAGATGGACTGAGGGGGTAAATTTGTAATACATCCAAAAATTTTGTATCTTGTACTTGGTGCATGTGCTAACTTAGACTGTACTAGAACTGTGTTATTATACATAAACAAAAGCACATTAGAATAAATTATATTATTTTATCAACTTTTAAAACCCAATGATACTAAGGGTTAGGCAAGATTATAGAACGTGTCGAAAACTATTAATTTTTGGGCGAAATATTCGTTCTCGGATATTTTGAATGATTTCATCGTATTCCTCATCCTTTTCTCATGAGGAATGAAGTTATCATTTGCAAAAATCCCGGCTTTTAAAGCCGGCAGCAGATTTTCTTTGAACCACTGTTCATCCAAAAATGCAGAAAAAAAATTTTATGTCAATTTGAACAAAGTGTCGATCTGAAGTTTCAAATCAGAATTAAAGCACTGGAGGCGCATAACCGGACGTAACTAGTTTATCTCTATGCAAAATAATTTAAATTCCGAATATTAAAAAAAGAATGGCTGCGTACTGGGCGGTAATCCGAGCGCTGTCAGAAAAAAAGTTTCGTGTCAACCTCATATCTCCTGATTCTCGCTGACGTTGTGCATATCTTGATGATTAATTCAGTTCAGTGTACGTCCAGGGACCTGACACTTCATTGCTAGTTGATTTTGAATTGGGAAAAAAATTCTTGCCTTGTCCACATCAATTTTTCTTACGAGCGTCGGGTTTCTTACAGTTCGGGGGGCATGCGTTAGACGAGTGTGGCACCATCAAATTTCTTGCCTGGTTCCTTTTTTCAACTGAATCCTTTATTTTAGACATTGGGCCATTAGAAATGACAATTTTTTCATTCTGGAGTTGGTTTAGTATTGTTTTGTACGTCATTATTGGTTGGCAAACTATTTTAACGGCATGGAGCTCTTTGGGGTCAATTTTTGGACCCGTCTTTAAAATTTCACAATTGAGCTTTTTGGTCACGGTGCAGCTTGAACCGAGCTTCCAGAAAAGTTTCGAATATTTGGAATTGGCGCCATTGTTTAACGTATATGGGAAAATTGCTACACGTTCTATAATCTAGACTAACCCTCAGTAGATCTTTAATTTAAATTTCCATCACTTAGGGTTTGTTCATAAATTACGCAACGCTTGGGGAGTGGGTTCAGGCCTCAATGATATTGTGCCTATGCACAAACCATGGGCTGTACACAATACAAGAAATCCATACCGTACAATGTCTCGCGACCGCTCGGATTGCAAATATTCCTAATTTTTATTTTACTATTCATACAAATCCTCTCACCTAAATCATATTAGCAGGGTTGCATGATCTCGCGGTGTTTCACCGATTGATGAGCAATAATATGTCGATTGTCGGTGGATGAAGAACAACCCTGGTACCACTATAAACAGGAGGACTTCCAACTTCAGAAGCGACTAAGTTTTTGTTCATTTGAAGCTCTTAATCTGAAGGTTTCGGAATCGATATGGGCAAAGCTTAATTTCATAGGATCATTCTTGAAGATTTCAACCGTTAATTGGAAATTGTAAATCTTCAAATGGATCAGACAGGTTTACGGATAACGCGAATTATCTATGTATAACTATACTCATGAATACACGCAACGAATGCGTGATCGCTGTCTCCAACTGAAAACAATTTTTTTGCTTGGATAAATTGCTTTTAATTTGATCCTAAAGATAATTAGTTTGAAGGGATCATTGCCAAAAAATTGTTTTTGTTATTTAAAAAACTTCATGCCCGGAAAAGTGAAGACACAATTACGTTTTTAATTTTTGAGAAATAACAAAGACTAATCTTCCTGAGTATAAATAAATACAATTTATAGGATTTGCTTGATTAAACTGGAAAACTGTTCAATTTTTTATATCCAAATGGTTGAGCGTTCACCCCATGGACAAAATTGGATGCTTTTTTCTTGTACAGTCCTTGCATATGGCTCACCGATACAATAATGGAGGAAGCTTACTACATGACAGTAAACTTGATCCAAAAGCTTTCCTTCTACCTAATGCCACCAATTCATGGGATTGTCAAAAGGAAAAAAATTACAAAGTCTTGGATATCTCTTTATCTCGGAAAGTATTGGAAATTTAAGCTAACCTATGTAGCAAATGTTGCCCACAATTTTGCCATTTTCGTCAATCTTACACTTGTCTACAAATCTAAAATCAAGCTGGAAATGGGGATAATACTTTTTCAATTTCTGTATTTAATGCTTGGTCTGATTGCGTTGATGTGTGATTCAATAATCCTATCCAACTGCACAGTGGGCCAGGAATTTAAAAAAGTGGCCGTTAAGGCAGTGTCACGATTTGGCTTAACTAGTATACCATCTTAACCTTTGTAACCAACTTGACCTTGGTGTAAAATATTAAGGCACAGGTTCAAGCCAATCGGATAAACGAAGCGGTTAAAGTATGCCAAATACATTACGGAGATAGGGATTTTACATCTTCTTACTTTGCTGCCCATCGCCGTGCATGTATGACTAACTACTGGCGCCATTAATTAGGTAATAGTGGTGGGATGATACACTGCTGCGACCAGCTGCGACCATCAAGCGTTATTCCAACCACACCCACTTCTATTCATTAAAGTTAAAAAAGTCAAATTTAAGTTGAATTAATTTTACTCAAGTATGCTTTAAGTATACTCAATCATTTGACTTTCTTAGCAAACTGAGGTGGTAGAAGGAAAGTATCTTGGCTTTAAAAACCACACCCTCTTTAGTAGAGGATTTTTAATTAAAAACATTTCTTGCTGAGAGGCTTAATGGCCCTCATGTTTAACCACATTAACAATTGAAATTCGGATTACTTTTCAAATTGTTGACCGATTTTCAAATTTTTGAGTGTTTTGGAAACCTTAGGTCAATTGGCGAAATATATATTTCCAGATTTTTTTCAATTCAACCACACCCCCTCGAAATTAAGGTTACAAGGTCAAAGAAATTGTAAAATATAATTAATGAATACCGCCAAATTTCCAAGACTAAAAATCGAACTGCAGATCGAAAAAATACCTCTACACCCTGGACACTAAGAGCAATGTTCAAATGGTCATATTCCACACCCCCAGTGGGTGTGGCCCTCGGCGACTTTTCGATTTTAACGGAACCATGTCATGTGATATATCATTTTTCTCAGCTCGATAAGGGGGTTTCTACGGAATACCTACAATTGTTAAACCGCTCCCCTAGTGGGTGTGGTTCTCGATTTCGATTTTCGATTGGGAAAATTTTCGATTTTAATAAAACCATGCGATGTGTTATGTCATGTTTATCAGCTCGACGATCGGATTTCGACAGAATAATTAAAATTAAAAAACCACACCCCCAGTGGGCGTGACCCACTTTCTGCGATTTTTCAATTTTAAACAAACCAGGTCACGTTATATAGAATTTTGTCAGCTCTAATAGGGTATCGACAGAATTATTAGAATTTTGAAACCATGCCCCCAGTGGGTGTGGCGTTCAGCGACTTAAAGTTGTTTGTTCCGATTTTAAATTTCTCCCACACCGAAATAGCACCACCTGTGTGTTTGTGTTTCCATGAAGGCTCGTGTTCTCGGTTGTGGCGGTTTTGAGTACATTTTCAGCTCAAATTTAAATTTGTCAAAAAGTTGTATTTTTGTAATTTTAACGCTATATCAAAATCGAAAGAACTAAAACATTTTTTCTCAAAAATTACTAAAAATAAAATTATAAAAATATGCTTCTAAAAATTTGAAACCTTATATGCTATTTCGGAATTTTGAATAATGCAACAAGGAATTGTGAAAAACTAAATTTTTTGAAAGTGGGTTTATCTTAATTTACGTAATGCTATTCTAATTATCTTGTAAAAGTAACTCATTTAGTTAAGAGAAATGATGTATTACAGGACATGACATGGTTTAATTAAAATCGAAAAGTCGCTGAATGTTGATTTTAGGTATACCGTCGAAAACCCCTTGTCGAGCTGAGAAAAATGATATAACACATGGCATGATTTTATTAAAATCGTTTTATGAGAACCCCACCCACTTTGAGTGCGGTTTCCAAGTTTTAGATATTCCGTCGAAACCCCCTCTTCGAGCTGAGCAAAATGATATATTACATGACATGGTTTCATTAAAATCGACAATTTGCTTAGAGCCACACCCACTGGGGGTGTGGTGTCAATATTTTAATGATTCTGTTGAGATCCCCTCGTCGAGCTGAGAAAAATGATATATCATATGACATGGTTTCATTAAAATCGAAAAGTCGCCGAGGGCCACACCCACTGGGGGTGTGTCAGGTGACTATTAAAAATTTCCTCATATAATATATGCTTTAGGTTATTGTTGTACACCAAAATCTAATTCTTGTTTCTTCAAATTCGGCTTCTATATATTTTCGGCCAAAATTTATCAAATCTGGCCCACTGTGAACTGGAAAGAGATGGCTTGGACTTTGGAAGAAATACAATTATTAAGCAAATTCAAATGTTACGGTGAAAATCTAAACACCGAGATTTATAAAACAAAGGTTAAAATTATTAATACGAGTATTGGAAAATATGTAAATATCTGCAGAACAATTTTACGCGTGCAAGTCTCCAGCTATAACTTGGCTACGTTGATGGTATCAATTTTTCCTCTCATTGGTGAACTTGACCCTGGATATTACCTTTTCGAAATTGCTGGATATCCGGAAGTGGGAATATCGATATTTGGAAAACTATGCAGGACTCTGATCTTAAGCGTGGTTTCTTTTCATATAATTATAACATGTGGACACGTCTCATTTTGGTATATCTTTTTTGGGGCTTTTGCATTGGATACAACTAATAAAACACGTGGTGAGTTTAAAAGTAAAGTATTCCGGTGTCCGAAAGTTACTGTTTAAAATTAATAGATTTGTATTTATCGATTACTGATTTAGGTATCCACTCAAGGAAAACTGACACCAATAAATTATTCCAATTCCGCTTGTGGTACACGAAACTGTACATTTTACTGTAAACCGTAAACCAGATGATGCGTTGGACCCTTTGGTTAATCGTGACATGTGGAATGGGCATATTCGTATCATCCATGATAGCAACAATCCGTTTCCACCATCAGCTTGGGATGCCAATTTATTTAGTATTTCCTTCCTTAGTTGTGATAATATCGGTAGCAGGCGGGCTGGTTTTTTGCTTCGCGGAAAAAA